CGGCACTGGTAAACTCCACTCAGTCACTTTCCTTCCCGTTCTAGTTCCTCTCCATAGCTCAGGCCGCTCTGCTGCTGCTGCTGCACTGTCTCCACTTACATTGTGACATCACTGGAGTTTCCCCACTGTAGAGGCCGCTGCCACAGCATAAATACTACAAGCTCTCTGGCAGAAATTCACTCTTAACACAATAGCAACACAAAGAGAGAAGTATCAACATCAGCATCCAGCAAAGTGTTTCAGTTGCTAGATTTGAGCTTTTAATTTCAACATTTAACATCGGGGATTTGCAGTATGGTGGCCTACACATCTGCACCAAGTGACATGGAGATGGGTCTTGAGCAGAGGACGGTGGTCTTGGTAGAAAAGAAGTCCTCCACAGAACGGATATTAAAGTTGACTGTGGCCCTTCTTGTCGTGGCCCTTTGCGTAGGGGGCATCCTGGTGTTTGCTTGGTACTGGAGTGGAAGGCCAGAACAAATGGTAAGGAGTAGCTCCGTCTTTCTGTATTTGACCTTTTTAAACCTTGTATTTTTACTGAAATGCACTTTTTGTGTTTATATTTTGTAATTCATTTGTCATATTCTCTCCTTACAGACGCAACCAGGCCACACAGATGCGCTGATCGACAAGGACACAGCTGAGAAAACAGGTGATTACATGCATAGGTGCTCATGTAGTAAAAATGCCAAAGGTGGTTTGTTAGATATACTTGGGGCTTTATTGATTATTTGAGACAAGCTCACATTTGTCTTTCTCTCCTCAGATCCCCACACCACACTGAGGCGAATCAGCAAAGCCAAGGCAGCCATCCATCTAGAAGGTGAGTCATGACTTGGTTTCATTCGGTTCGCAGCAAACAATGAGCTCATGATCTCAGCGTTCAAAGAGTCTTCCTTCCTCTTTTGTGATATTTTTTGCTTCCTTCTTTTTAGAAGTATGATGATCAGGTGCACTTTAAGGAAGTTGTTGCACGAGTTCAATCAAATTCTGTTAATAATAGAAAACCCTCTGTAGAAAACAACCAAAGTGTTTCCGGGCTTTAACAATGTGTCTTATTACTCTTCTTTCAGGGATCTACGAAGAAGGCGAAAGTTTGAAAGACCAGTTGGAGTGGAGAAGCGGTCAAGGTCAAGCGTTCGCTCAGGGTGGCTTTCGACTGGTGAACAACCAGATAGAAATCCCACAAACAGGACTGTACTTCGTCTACAGCCAGGCGTCGTTCAGAGTGTCCTGCAGCGATGGCGACGAGGAAGGAGCGGGTAAAGGCCTCACACCTCTCAGCCACAGGATCTGGCGCTACTCAGACTCCATTAACAGCAAAGCCTCTCTGATGAGCGCCGTGAGGTCGGCTTGCCAAAACACGGCGCAGGTGGAGAGCTACAGAGAAGGACAGGGGTGGTACAACGCCATTTATCTGGGCGCAGTGTTTCAGCTGAACAAAGGAGACCGACTGTGGACCGAAACCAACCAGCTATCAGAGCTGGAGACCGACGAGGGACGGACCTTCTTTGGTGTGTTTGCACCTTGAAATGACTCTTTGCTGTGATAGTAACAGATACGATACAAAGCCCTGCACAGTGCCATAAGTTCTGGATTTTCTTTTTTACATTGTGTATGTTTTTTACTTACTTTTAATATTATTCATCTTCATGGTGATGTAAAACTGTTTAAATCTCAATGGAGATAAACTTGTAGCCGAACAGGCAGTGCAGACATTTTTTTAAATCCTATAAACTGTAACAGTTTGCAACATTATTTATATTTTAGGCGCTTTTTGTACATTATTTATGCTGACCTGAAATTGTAGTAGGCTAGACTTTCTCTGCTGTACCGGATACAGACACAGCTCTTCACTGAAGAGATTATGTTCAAGAGTTATGTACAGAACTATTATCACATGTTTGTATTTATTTGTATTTATTTGTATTTAAATTGTTTATAATAGGTGTCCAAGATTGTATTTATATGTTAATGTGAACATGAGTTTAATTAAAATCCTAAAAGGAAATACTTACAGAAAAGATCACTGAGTTTTTCTAATTACATAGGATGAAGTCATTTCTAAACTGAGATAGTAAGACGAAAGTCGAGTCGGCAAACATCTCAAGCCAGCCAGGGCAGTAGCTCTCACACACACACACACACACACACACACACACACACACACACACACACACACACACACACACACACACACACACACACACACACACACACACACACACACACACACACACACACACACACACACACACACACGCACACTCACACAGACGCAAACACACAATTTGACAAGAGCAGCTTTGAAATTCCTCCACAGCCAGCAAATACTTCCTTTGTTAGATCAGACAAGATGAGGGGAATTTCCTATTTTTCTGTGCTGTAGCTGAGTGCTGTGTCAGGTGGAGGCCCACAGAAGCCTCAGCCCAGAGCGGGTTTTCCCCAATGACACCCTCCCACCACCCCCGATCCCACACACAACCTGCCTCCTCCTCCACACCAGCAACCCCTTTCCCTCTATTACCACATACTTCATCTTCAGTCAGCTGGAAAGAGACATGACATGGCAGTGTGTGTGTGCGTGTGTGTGTGTGTGTGTGTGTGTGTGTGTGTGTGTGTGTGTGTGTGTGTGTGTGTGTGTGTGACTGCATTCAGTATGCATATGTGCTATCCTGCAGCACAGCTGGCCTCGTCACATTGTCATCATGTAAAAGCACTTTTTATACAAATATCGGATGTACTTGGGAACCATTTGTCTACTTTTGTGTCTTTTTTTATCCACAAACATCCACTTATTGTCTCAGTAACAACATTCCCGCTAGCCTTCACAGCTGGTCATTGTGCTGAAAACCGTTTCCCAGTTTTGTTTAATGATTTCTTCTTCTGGGTTTGTTTGCTCTTTGCCTCCCGCAGGCTGACCCGGTAAAAAATAATCAAGTTCAACAGACAAATAAACTCAACATAACAGAGTTAATTGCTCTAAAGGTCAGTCAGTTAGAAAAAGCCACAAATAAAAGGTGACATCTAGTGGATGATGTTATTAAGCTGTGCTGTGCAATTAAAATTAATTGTGAAATTGTGGTCTACCTCATCAAATAGGATCTAGCGTTTCCCAAGCTGAAAAACATCTGAAAAGAATCCACAAAATAATTAGTTTCAGTTTGACTTCACAGTGTAGTTTGAAAAATGAACCCTGTACTTCCCTTTTGTTTATGTATTTTCAGTGATGTGGAAAGAAAGGTATCACTGAAACACAAATACCCAATGAAAAAACAATTATTTTTATTTATGGTACCCATATATTTGCATACACATACTCTGAAATATATTAACATTTACGATCTTATATATAGTGAATACAAATATCCCCAAATCCATATATATTGTCATATATGTGCAAGATAATAGAACAACTCCTAAATTATTTCTGCATTCATATGTTACACTATCTCTTCCAGGTACTGCACAGTTAATACATATGGCCTATTTCATTCATTGATGTCCTCCTCCATACCCTGAGCTAAAATGTATTAGAATACCAGCAAACATGAAGTGGAATAACCATAGTTTGTTCAGTTTAAAGTGCGCACTGACATATATATTTGAAAAAATATTTGACAAAGTATTGTTTTACCTGCTGATAAAGCTGTTATCATTGCTTTTATACCATCTGGAAATAGCTCATGAATGAAATAGTACCTCCAGATTAACTGCTGAATAAATACAGTTTGTCACATAACTTTACGTACATCCTTCTTTGATACATTTACAATTTACCCAAAGGCAAAATGGAAAAAAATAAAATAAAATATAGCATCCATCCCGATTGTCTGTTATGGGAAAACGTAAGAAAAACATCCAATAAAAAAAAAGGCTCACAAGAATAATGTGTATAAAAACTGTGCTTTCACTGAAGACCCACAGAAATAGCCATCATAGAAGCCCCACGTCTCACCGCACTGCTGCTGTGAAATATATAAATTGGCTTTCAGTTTCAGGAGGAAGAAAGTACAAACTATTCTTCTGGCATGTTGGAGTTTTCCTGACAAAATGTGAGAATCAGCTGCATTGACTATGGCTGCAGCAGGGGGGGTTATTTGATGGCTACGACTGTTCTTTACCGCTAAAAAGGTACAACACAAATCTCAAAAAATACAATGTAAACATCATCGCAAATGGCAAAACTATCAAAAGTTTCCCTTAACATGAGAAAGCTTGGATACTTTCCTCCTTTGAAATTAGTTAATATTCAGCAAAGGACTGTTTTTTTTTTTAGATGCAGTGTTGTACTTGAATACACAGTCCTGACAACAGACATCCATACATGCCAAGCTCTTAGGCCTTTTCTAAATTATGGCTATTTAATAATGCACATTATCATCTTTCAGTGAAACCAGTATCCACGCGGTGGCGCTCAGCGGACTTTACAATCCTTTGTCCCTTTTGTAAATTCCATTTCCACAACTCCCCTGAAAAGTAAACAAATAATTTAACAACAACTCCATGACAAAACAGGTCAGATATTACAGAACAATATAAACCACTACTGTGTGTGCTTGCCTAGTCAACAAACTTGAGAGACGAACGGTGGAGACGATATAACAAAGACACAAACGTTTCCTTTTAAGATCCTCGGCGAGGTGTCTCCACAACAGAACGAGATAACGAATGGGGGAGAGGAATGATTAAGAGACCTTTCTGTTCACTTTGAAAAAAAAGGACCTCGAGTGCTGCTAGTCTGGACAGTCACAAGTGCCTCGTTGCTGGGGCGGACGCAGTGAGATCAAAACTGTGAGGAACGGGTGTTACCTGCGCAATCCCCCCCGAAGCTGCCGCGTGTACAGCGCTCCTGTGAACTTATTTGTGCTTCCACGCCATTTTTTTTAAAACAGTGTCACTACACCGCTGTGCCCCAATCAAGCGAAAGTCACAGTGTGTCATTGTGTTTTGTGTCCCCTGTGTGTGTGTGTGACTGTTGCCCCCCCCCCCCCCTCCCCTCTCCCGGTGCCTGCCTATTTGTACAGCAGTGGGATCTGGCTGTTCTGACAGTGGTTGCGGCTCATCTTGCTGTCGGCCGGGTAAAGGTTGGAGGAGTTGGAGAAGGAAGGCGGGAGGGAGTGATTGTCCGTGGTGGGGTTGGGGTATCCGGGCGGGGGCAGCAGAGACTTGGGGTCGGGCTGGGAAGAGGGCGGGGGGGGCGTTGTGGTTCTGATTCTGGCCAGAGGAGGGTCGGCGGCGGTTGCGTAAAGCCTGTCGCTCAGCCAGCTGGTTGCGGAGTGCGGAAACTCTCTCTTCTTTCTGAAGACACAACGAGAGAAGAGAGACACGGTTATATTTTGTGTTGTGTAGCATTTCTCTTTTCTTTGAACAGTTTATTTTCATTTTTACAAATCAAGACATATCCTGGACTTTTCCATTCAAATGACAAATAATAATATGGTAAAACAGAATATGAAATAAAATTAAGTAAAAAATAAAAATAAGTTAAAATAAGGAAATAAATAAGATCATTATAAAAAATAAATTAATAATAGTAAAGTAAATAAAAATAAATAAAAGCATTTTACACAAGGAGTGACATCTTTAGCAGAGCAGGATTGGTTACACAGGGACATTTTCCATAATGTTCTTTTGAAACTCAATTCAGTTAAAACAACCCTTTTCAATTAGCTAGACATCCAGGTATCTTTTAACTTTGTGTAACATTTATAAGTACAGTTACACGCCATAGTCATTTTCAAGCAAAAACGCAGAACATTAAGCTAGTTCCCGCTTCTCAAATTAGGATTTGCATCTTTTTCTGGCCGAATATGATAATAAATCAAATATATTAAAGTTTTGCACTGTTGCTCTCAGAGTTCCAAGGCTCTGGGAAACTATGATGAGCAGTTAACAAAATGTCGTCACGTTTATCGGATGGCAGATCCCAGATCCCAGATCTCTGGAACGTCTTACCTGCTGAGGTTAGCTTTGCTTTATCCATCACTGCTGTTAAACCTCATTGCAATTATTTTAACTATTACGTAATGTGTTTCTTGTTGTGAACAATTATATGAACATTTTAAGTACTTTATGAATAGATTTGTATGAAAATGTATATATTATAGGCTATACTATATGTCAATAATTATTATTTTCTCAGACATATAAGTGACTTACTGAAGACATTTCAAACCTTTATACTTTTTTTTGCAGTAATTTCATGGAGCTAAACTCTCATAATTACATTGAATAAAAGAGGAATGCTTAAAAACTATTTTTCACATCTATTAGTGTGAAAGCTAATTATGGAAATAATGTTATATTATCAAAAATACTTAAAAGGTAGAGTAGGTAAGAATGGAGAAACCAGCTCGAGTGCGCTAGAATCTGAAAGTACGCAGCCGAAAAAAATCTGCCCCTTCCTTCAGACTTCCTTACAGAGCCCCTCCTCCAACACACACGAACGCGCACATGACCAATGAGGGCACGAGATAAGTTTGTGCACAGATGGAAGGCTGACAGGCAGGAAGGCCATCCAGTTATTTTAGCCGGGACGGCTCAGATGATTGGTTGTGCTTTTTACAGCGCTACGGCTTCCACAGATATTTTTATGTATTTATTGTCAAAGCATTTAATGTATTCATTGCTATCGGGATGTTAAGAGCATTCCATGGAATATAACAACAAGTGTTTCTGAAGTGAATTACATACCCCACCTTTAAATGTATTACATACATTATAAAGCGATGAAGGATACATGATACCATAAACATGTCTCTATTTGTATGTCACAATGTAATGTGTTATTCCTTTTCCTGTTTAAACTAATGAAACAATGTAAGTGTGGGTATAACGCCTCACCTCCTGGATGATCTTCTGCAGCTCCCTGTTCTCTCTCTCCAGCTGTCGGGACTTCTCCTCGTCGTTGTTGTTGGTGGACGAGCCGGTCTTCAGAGTGTCCTGCTGCTCCGACTGCCACTCGCCACGGGTGATGAGACGCCGCATCTGCACCGCCACAGGAACAGGAAGTCAATAAAACACAAAGATAAGGCTTGAGAGCACGGTTGGCTGAATGAATAATGCATCTTATAAATTTGTTTTAATATCTGCAGCCCTTAAAGCCAAGTCTCTCTCAATGGCCTGAAGGCTAAAGACCTTCTTGTTGTGCTTGGCTCTCTATTGTGATGTGTTTTCATTGGATATTCTGTTGATGTCGTTAGATGTTCTGTAGGTGGCACTCTTTCCTCTGTCTGTTCATTCCAAACAAGACAATTAACATTTCTCACTTGTTTGCCAAATCATTTTGTTTTCCTAACACCAAATATTTAATGCAGGCACACATTCATAAAGTAATGTGAAATGTCACAGGTTATTACCATAATGGTGGGATCATAGACGGATTAAAAGATTAAGAGATTAGATCTTCAGTGAGAGCTAACTTTGATCATTTCTATAATCTTTCCTAACTTCTTTAACTCTCTTCCATCACAGTCCCCTGACTGCTGGACCCTCCCTGTATCTCTCTTGTTTTGATTTGTCTTAATTTCTAGGTTTATACAGATTAAGGCCTTTTTTTTATGACATTTTAAATATTATTTATGTTTGACATTAGTGGAATACTTTACTCTTCATTTTGTTATTTTTTTATGTCATGATACACTTTTTTAATTAACAAAATATAGTTAGGTTTTAATAGCATAATACATACAAACCTTTTTTCTTAAACAACACATACAGTGTAAAAAAACAGGTGTGCAGGTTGTCCAGAGTAAGGCCTTCTGATTGGATTATTGTATATTCTAACCCTTTGATTCTCATAAACCAACATTGTTTTTCTTATATTATGGGCTATATCAATTAAAGGTGGGGTAGGTAATTTTGGAGAAACCAGCTCGAGTGCGCTAGAATTTGAAAATACACAGCCGGAAAAAATCTGCCACTTCCTTACAGAGCCCCTCCTCCAACACACACGAACGCGCACATGACCAATGAGGGCACGAGATAAGCTTGTGCACAGATGGAAGGCTGACAGGCAGGTAGGCCATCCAGTTATTTTAGCCGGGCCGGCTAAAATGATTGGTCGTGCTTTTTACAGTACTACGGCTTCCACAGATGACATTTTTTAATGGATTTTTTGTCAAAGCACTTCAGATATTCATTGCTATCGGGATGTTAAGAGCATTCCATGGAATATAACAAAAAGTGTATCTCGAGCCGGTTTCTCAAACTTACCTACCCCCACCTTTAATACAAATATTAAACAAAAATACCAATATTGTTTTGCACCCAACATCAAAAAACAGCTTTCAGTCGGAACGAAGAATCAGGGCTTTGTCATTTTAATGCACATTGCAGTACAGGCATCTTTTCCCCTAAAGACACTGAGATTGGCACGTTTTGACCTTTGGTTTTAGTGAAAAACAAGTGAATCTTTTAGTGTGTACAGCATTTCCTAAAGGTGTCAGGGAGGAATCAGAGCACCTTGGGTACGAAGAGCACCACCAGAGTGATGTAGGCAGAGAAGATGACTGCCAGAGCAGCGAAGGCAAAGGAAGCGTCCTGCTGCGAGGTCAGGATCATGGTCACCGGAGCCGTGATCAGGCACAACACCTGCAGGAGGACAGAGAGAGACAGAAACAGATGGAGGGAAACAAAAAGAAACACAAGTTAAAAAAGAAAGGAGTACAAGTGTTGTTTAAAGTCGAGAGAAAAAAGAAAGCAGGGGAAGTGAGAAGAAAGGAGGTGCAGAATGAAGTAAAGTTAGAGAATGAGAAGGGAGGGAAATCACATCCATAAAAGCATTAGGCATCTGTTTATCATTCCGGGGAGGGCTCCCATGTGAAAACAGCATTAAAAAGTCATGACTGAAGTGGCTACAGCGCGCTGACAATCACCACATTGTCATCTCATCAGAGCCTGGAGCTCACAGCTTAGCGAAGAGGAAGGAGGGCTCTTCACAGACGCCATTAACTATTGACATCATCATAAAACTGAGATGTGTATATCAGAACATAAAATAATAACATTAGGCTCGTCTCACATTACGGAACCATGTGATGAAATGAGCATGCAAGCTGCATTCAATGCTCTCATAAATAACCATGATTGATGGATCCATGGTGAATCCTCTCCTTGACTGAGAATTAACAATCAATCCTTTTATTTATTACTAAAGTATAAGCTGATAATTGCTTGGAAGGTCATTAGAATCATATCTTTTTAAAAGTAAATCAAGGAGAGTGCAGGACATTCTGGCAAAAAAGGCTTTTTAAAAACAAATAAAAAGATGTTTGCCTGCTTTTGATCAAAGCTAAAAAAACTCCTCTGGCAGTCAAAGTGACAGAAACCACTTTTCTGTAGATTTTGCATCAATTACAAAGTTAGCGTGTGCCAAGAGTGTCAGGAAATGGCAGCGAGTATTTGTCTAAAGTGGCTAAAGTGAACATAATGGCAGAGTAAAGTGCATCCTAGGTGCCTCCGTTTAAGATGATTCACTTGCTATTAACAAAAGCAGAGAAACGGTTTGGACTGACGGCTGCGTTTTTACCACTGAACTTTAGTTGCTAAATTGGTGCAATTTTAAACCTATTCCGACTAAAGGGCAGTATAACAGCTCCATACAAAACACTGTGTGAATGCAATCCCTGCCACACACACACAACCATAACACATAACCCTGCACTTAGTTTCCTTCCCATATACAGTTTATGCTCAGCATGAGATTGCAGCACTATAAAAGTTTAGTGTTTCACTTTTCAGTATATTTTGACTTATTCACTTTTATTTCAACAGGTAGTCCTATTGAAAATAATATTTATTGCGTGAAAGGTCACATGAGACGGTCGTTCACAGGCACCCTGTATGATTCGTACATACAGCAGCCTGTTCTGGAAGTATTATGATTTGGATAAGAACGTGTTGAGGGATCTGCATTTTAAGGAATCATGTGCTTGTGGGAAAGCTTGAATATTTTATATAGTGTTTCTGTGTCTCCTGTTGCTCTAACCGATCATTATACCAACATGTACATTTCTGTATTGTATACTACATCATTAATCTTTAATGTTCAGAACATCCCAGAGGTTATTTTGCAAGGAATCATCAACATTAATACTCTGTTGTGCCCACAGGGGACTTTCTGTTGTGTGATTTATAAAGATGGATGCAAACGATGAATGTAGAAATCTTGATTTTGAGACGAAAGCCTATTTATTCTTTTAACTACATTTTATCCTCATAGGATATACTTTAATGTGTTGTTGTGTCATGTTCAGTCACTTATCTACTTAAAAAAGGAATATACACCACAAGCATTAAGGGGGCATTATGTTATCTATGAACTCCATTAACTTATATAACAAAACAGCAGAAACAAGAGTAGCCCCTCGAGAATGAAGCTTTTAAGCTTGTGTAGATATAATATCCTAACACTGGTCTGTTGCCTCTTTTGCTCTGAAATGAGCAGTAAAGCAAAAAAAAACGTGAGACCCAGACAGAGTAATCATGGAGGCAGTTGCATTGATTAACCCACCCACAGTTATAATACGGCCATTTTATGCTACGGGGCATAAAAATCGTATTTATAGCCACGTTAAAGTTATTCATTGTGCTTTTAGCAGAAGGCAGCATCCAGAAACAGGAGGTTAGGCGTGACGGTGCCATTTCTTTTTTGGACTCACAGCGACATTGTAAATAGCCATCCCCACGGCCCGGTGGTCATTGATCTTCTCTGTGGAGACGGACTTGGTCTCGTAGGCCAGGAATATCCCCAGGAGCAGCAGGAGACCCTTGTAGCCGTAAACCACACCTACAAGAAGAAAGAAGCAGTGGAAAAACATGAAAGGTATATAATACGATATGTGTAATGCAACTGAGGCAATTATTACAAGAAACAACAGTACTGTATGGAAACAAATGCAGGCTGAATAATGTGAGATTTTGAAAGACAAAGTAACTGAAAGATAAAGAATGCTTCCCTGAAGAAAAACTCAAATGCTTCAGCATTCAGTTTCGCTTACCATTTACAATTTCTCTTACATGACTATGCACTGCAACATTTATTTTGTTTTGTAATTATTTATTTTACTTGTTCGAAATAAAATGTATCAATCAATCAATCAATCAATGTTGTCTTTTAAATTGACAAAAATGTGGCCCTGTTGGTCTCCATGTAGGAAACAGTTATTATGGTCAAATCTTAACTGAATTGAGGTTAAGCAACTAACATGACAAACAGCTGTTAGGACACACAGGGGGGGGGGGGGGGGGGGGGGGGGGATTCACAAAGAATGTCGACCATGAACTGAGCATCATTTGAAACTGCTTTCTGACCCATCCCATACAGCGCAAAACATAGTCATAACATTTTGGAGCTGAGCGCAATTTGACCTTTTTTTGCAGAACTCATTTGCTGAATTTGTTCATTTTTTTTTGTCTTATTTAACTAACCCTAACCCTGCAAAATCTGTACTATGCTTTTTTTAATACAATATTATTTATACTATTTGAACTACAGATTTCTTTTTTGGATCAAGATATAAGATACACGTATATATATAACATAAATCTTTAAAGCAAGGAACATGTTATGCACATTGCAGGATGAGGAGATGCAGTATTAATGACATTTTAGGACATGAAAAGAATAGAAAACCTGCAAGATGACATGAACCCCCTTTGCTTCTAGTGAAGGTTACATTGTGAACAGATCGGTGTGGCCATCGACGGACTATGACCGAGTGGTGCAGGGAAAGGAAACCAAAAATGTACGTCCAATAGAAACTAAATTGCAAAAAGGCGGAATATCCTGAAAGCTAGTTAGACTGACAAGGGAAAGTGAAAGAGAGAGACGAGGGGAATAAAAAGAGGACGTGTGACGGAGTAAGTTGGACACCTCTTCCCACTGTCCATTGTCTCCTTATACCGCCTGATATTAAAGCACCATCTTTTCTTCTCTGAGAAGGGAAATGCTATGGGGCAATGGCCCAGTTTGTGACCCACATTATTTGAATTCCAACACCATTATATTTTCATAAGAGCTGCCACGCTAAGGAAGTCAGCAGAGAGACAGACAGGGAGAAAGAGAGACTGCGTGGGCCGACAAAAAGAGAAGCAAAGAGAGAAAAAAGAGGAATCAAACTGAAGAGGGGGGGTGGGGGCCGAGCGAGGACGCTGTGATTTGAGGCCTGTTTAATTCAGAGTGAATGGTAGTGACGTGTGTGTGTGTGTGTGTGTGTGTGTGTGTGTGTGTGTGTGTGTGTGTGTGCGTGTGTGCGTGTGTGTGTGTGTGTGTGTGTGTGCGTGCGTGTGTGCGTGTGTGTGTGTGTGTGTGTGTGTGTGTGTGTGTGTGTGTGTGTGTGTGTGTGTGTGCATATGTGCCTGCATATGGCCATGTGTGTGACAAAGCTTATTCAAAACCAGAGCAGGGCAAAGAGTGATAAAGAGACAGATTGTGATATGAGAGAGTAAAAAAGAAAGAGAGACAACGCATACCGAGCCACGTGTTCATCTTCTCTGAGCTGCAGTGCTCCAGCAGGGGCTGAATCAGGACATCCAAATCTTCTTTAGGGGCCTCCCTTGTGAACTTCTACTCGCACGGCAGACAGAGGACGAGGAGAAGAAGGATAAAGAGAGAGATATTAAGAAACGATGACACAGCAGCTCTCTGGCGATGGAGGCAACACTGCACAGTAAGCTTAAGCACCAGTGACTGCACGGTTGATCCCCTTGAGCAAATAGGTCTTTACCATATGTCAGAAATAAATGACTGAAAAAACTGAGTATAAGATATCCAATAAATATGAAATATGGCTATTTAAATTCACAATTTGACAGCACTGTGCAGATAAGGGCTAATGATGATGAATAGAGTCTACTCTTGTTCCTCCAGAGGTCGACTGCACTTAATGAGTGCGGACTACATGCACATTAGTGTCTCCATGTTGTGTCTCATGGAGGTTTTAAGGACATTCTGGATATGCTGTTTAAAGTTGAAACAGTATCACGGTTTCTGTGTCTTAATCTTAGAACATGTCAGCCACTTATCAATGTACTGATAGTGTCACACAAAGTCCATTAGGTTTCTGGCTGTGCTTAGGGAAGCTTGTCCATCTGATCACTGGGAATAGAAAGAAGAGCCAAACTGACTAACAGAGTTCATCTGAACACAAAGGATCCAACTAGCTTTGAGGTTTCTAAGATTGGTGCTTATCAGGGAAATCAGGATACTCCACCAAAGAGTCACACAATGGAATCATGAGGTTTCACCTTTGTTGTAAATGTTTGTACATATGAAAGGTATTCTGTGGAGTTTTTATCTACTAGTGGCAGTGTGGAGCTTTGCTTTTGTAGTGTTTTACATGTGATAAATCACTCATGTGTACCGTAAAAGTGCATATTAACAGTTGATGGTGGTAACATATTGTAACATGTAGTTAAATGTAAGAGGGCTGCTAACTGACGTAAACATGATTTTCAGATCATCAAAGCGACTGTATACGAATATTTTAAAGTTTAAAGACAATGTGTCTACTTATACATGTAAAGTGTCACTTGTATTGTTGAATACACAGAGGATTACTGCATGTTCCTGCAGGCTCAGCACTAAGTCGTGTTTTAGCATTTTCCAGCGTATTGTTTTGTTTTTCCAGGACAGCGACTTTACCCTTGCTGCTGTCAGCTGTTTTCAGTGAAAAATGATATAAATATCCATTGTACACTACCTGCTAAGCACCAAACAGGAGAAATACAATTTGGACCCAAGCTGGTGAAATTTGTGGAGCATTAAAGTGGACCTATCATGCTATATTTGAATAATATAGTGAAGGACCATACCTATATAAGGCATATTTATACTTTTTTTTTTTCAAAATACCAAACAGATCATGCATTTTAGCCATGCCTCATTTTGCTCAATTTGAAAAATGTTAGCTCTGTTTTTGCAAGGGCTGATTCTGTGAGAACAGCACCATCTACAGGCCTGGCATATGTACTACAGCGTCTCCAGCGCTTTCGAACGGCAATGGCCGTGGCTGTCTCCTCCTGATTGGTGGAGTTGGCCCAATAGCCGTAGCGCCACTGTCCTGACGTCAGGACAGTGTTCAAATCTGGATCAGTTTTTATCAGATCCGTTGCAGCCCCTTTTTTAGAGATTTGGGTATGGAGGAAAATAGAGAGGGTTGTGTTTTCTGACACTTGGTGAGTTCCCTGGAACACCGGGGACACATATTCATTTATAAAAGACGTACAAAAGTGCATTTTGCATGATAGGTCCCCTTTAAGTCAGCTGAATAGCCAGGTATTTTCATTAGGAATTTCACATCTTAAAGCATATGAAGGTTGCTAACAGCAGGTGAAAACTGAGTACATATGCTGTAAAACCACCACAATAGGATGGACTGGTTGATAAGTGTGTGTTTTCTGCACTTTGAATGCTGAAAATGTGCATCCCTTGATTCAATGTTAATAACAAATATTAATATTAAGAGCAGCTTTAATGAAGCTAAACAATCTCATAAGACCTTTAAAAGATAAATGTTTAATAAGCCAGGATTTTTCATTTTAATGAATTTAATATACAGTTTGTACCACAGGGTATCTTTAGCAGTGCTTACACTATTGAACACAAATCAATTGGATTATTCGGGTCATAAATGTCACTGTTTTAGTGCTTCTGTCTGGCTCTGCTTTGTGATTTCTATCCTTGTTTTGGATTGTGCTCTTTGAGTGTAAGATTAATCAAAATGAAAGAACATTTCTACAAACGACGCGCGGTGTCTCATTACTGCGCTATTGACTCATGACAACGGCTGCCCGGTCTGAGCAAACGGCCGGTGACACACAAATTATCTCATCTGTCATTCGCACTCTACCTCCACCGTAATGTGCAGGGGATCCACAATCTGCCAGATCATGAGTGACAGGAAGTCGATAGCCAGCAGCACTCCAACTGTTGCGTAGAGTTTCCATGGCTCCAAGTGTTGCTATGAGCAAAGAAAACACACACATGAACACACACACACACACACATAGATACACCACAGTTATCAGTTTTCCAAGGGCATCACAAGCCATTCCACAAACAAAGACAAACAACCAGGACGAATAATACGACAGGCGTCCTTGTGATTTCTGGATGACTGGGCGCGAATTGTCTTTCTGAATGTGTGCGTTAAAGTGTGTGTGTTTGTGTGTCTAAGTATACTTTAGGAGCAGTTTGTGTGTGTGTGTGTGTGTGTGTGTGTGTGTGTGTGTGTGTGTGTGGGCTGCAGTAGCTGTATTTGTGCTGCCACCTGAAATCGTCATTTATACACACAATGCTTTTGCCTGGATAGTTTCCGAAGCGGCTGATATCAACTCCATTATTCTTAACTTAAGCTATAATGGAAGCAATGCAGCCGTAACCAAGAACAAGAAACCAAAAATGAGCTCTGCTACTGCTACTCCCTCCTCTTTCTTTCAACACATATTTTTTCATTCGACCACGCTGGCTTACCCCCAGCTACTCCGACATAGTAACAGCCATTCAAGCGTGCAATGACTAAAACTGAAAATAAAATAAAGCAGAAAACACATTACATAGTCCTAGGCCTCTTCACTTGAGTTGCATGAAAAATGATTGGTTAAGCGCTCATTCTCCCTTCGATTTGTGAAAATTCCTTTAAATATCACGCAGAGCTCTCGAGCAAATTGCCCTTCTGTGGACATGAAGAGAGTTGAAAGTCAACCCGATTCGCTGTGCTTTGGCTCAAATAATAAACCCCCCCAAGGTTGGAATTCTGCAAAGAACTTTAATACTCATCCATATTCATAAATATTCCATAAATGGCTTAATCTCTTATTCTTCTGATTAGGTCTTAGAAAATTCCCACAACACATCACAGACTGGCAGTATCTGGCTGGCTCCAGGACACACTATCTTCAAGAGGAGGCACACACACTCCCACACACACACATACACACCAGCAAGTCAATACATCTGATGACGTGGGTAGCAGGGGATTGGTTTTATGTGCCCCTAATCTGCATTTTTTTTTATGCATAAATGTTGCATGTGTGTAGAGATGCATGTGCATATTTTAAGTACAGTATCTATGTCAGTGTGTCCAACACCCTTATCCCTGCACGCTCTCTACAACCCTGCAGAAGTGAATGATGCCGAGCTGGCCTCTTAGAAGCTTATGTTACTAGGAAGCTTGCAAAGTTTTAAACTTGACTTTTTATCAGCTGGCGCCACACATGCTGTGCGGCCCGGCCTCCCATCCTCTCTCTCCCATCCTCTCTCTCCCATCCTCTCTCTGCTCTCCAGAGACCGCTGAGAGGCTTATCCCTCCCTCTCTCTCTCCTACACTTCCTCCCTACCTTCTTTTTCTCCTTCTTTTCGTCCTTCTTCGTGAAGAGGGTGTGGACCCACCAGATCTTGGTGAACATGCTGCCGTACGCCAGGCTGAATCCGAGGCCGAGGAGCCACAGGCGGAACTGGAGGAGGGGAGAGGAGGAGAGAGAATTTTAATTAAAAAATAACTTTATTCAAGGGTGTAGGTTTCAGAAATAGGAGCACAACTAAGGGAAAAACAAATTATCTTCTTTTTCTACAACTAAAAATATTATATAATATAAAGAATTCATGACAACATTGGTTATTTTTCATAGAACTAGTCAAATATATAACAAATAATGTCCTTCATTCCTTCTCTGAATCGTTTTGAGTTTCATTAAATGATAATGTTGTATTTGCATTTTTGCTGCAAAGCGCTCTGTGCTTTACCGCATTGTTTTATTCAACCATTCTCCTTAAGGCAAATATTTACTGTACATATACAAATATAGATCTCATGCATTTTTTTATCCTAAAAATATGTTAAGGGTGTGCAAGTTTTTTCAGTAGATTTATCCCTGAGTAGTGTCTGCAGGGAGAGAAAGAGAACGATAAATAGAGAAGGTGATGCACGAAAAAGAGACAATATTTATTTGAGGAAAGGGAGAGATTGCAGCAGATATAGAAAAGCTTTCCAGAGTAGGTAGAGGGTCAGAGGCAGAGTGCAAGAGAGAGGAAGAACAAAGCCTGAGAGAGAATAACTGGACAGGGACAAAGAGCAGGGAAACAACAGAAATGGAAATCTCCCTCTCTCCCCCACAACAAAAAGACTCAACACGGGTGACAGAGGAAGCACTCCCACTCCTCATTAGTGCTGGGATCCCTCCACCTGCGCTACTCTGCCAGCCAGCATATCATGTCTGTGCCACTGAATACCAAAATACATTCAAATACCTAATGAATTATATTAGCGTTTGCGTGATCAAACTTCTGAAATAAGGTTTGCAGGTGTCTGCTTTCCACAGGCATGCAGCAACAACGAGCCTGTCAGAAAAACCTAAACGTGGGTTTGCATAATGGCTGTACTAAAACTGACAGATATAACTGTAAAGGGCAATGTTTGTCGCCCAAAGAAAGTCCAGCAATACTGCCGATACAATACTAAATAAAGCAAAATGGTACACTCTTAAAGACTGTCGACATTTTAAACTTTGAGATGCTACGTGTTGATGCGGGTGGACCAGCCTGTACAACTTCCTGCTGTGCATCCAGACATTGTGATGGTATTTTAAGATCAGTTGTGATGCCAAAATGCTCACAGATATCAAATGAGTGAGAATTTTTGGGAAACAGTATGCACAGTAGATGTAGAATGTTCCACTCTGATGGAAAAGTGCCGCCATAAAAACATTGATTTCTTTGCAATTCACTCAGTGTGGACTTCGCAAAGCGTTGTTTAAAAGCTGGAACACAATTAAACTCAATTTTAACACAATGTGATACGGTCAAAAACTGTGAAATGAGAGGAAATTCTCAAACTTTAAATGATAACAGCTCGAATAAGATGAATACTTTATATTGAAGTCCTGAAATCGAATGCAAGTGTATCTCAGTTGGGTAATGAGGAAGGGGAAAGCACTGTTTGTGACTTTCCTTACTGATATTTATCATTTATTTGAGTATGTCTATGCTCCTGTAGTATGTTGGACTTTTTTAAGAACATTTTTATTATCCAGAATATTTTATATTGTTTAAATTTGATACAGTTTAATTTTTATTTAATTTGTAATTGTTAATTCTCTATTCCACTTTTTAAGTATGTGTATTTTAATGTTAAACAAACTGCTTCTGTAACAAAACATTTTCCCATAGACTCAATAAAGTATATCTATCTATCTAATCTCAGTTGGACTGGGTTGGGTTTTCATTACCAAGGCAACAGGAATTATATTTGGCACTACTATTTCAAAGGTAAAGATGAACAAATGGATAAAAAACCATAAAAATCTGAGTTGAATTGCTTCTATACTTCCTCTAAGCTCATTTTCAACACGTCCTGTAATTAAAATGAGTTGTTGGGTACAAACATCAAGTCAATGAAACCAATTATTTGCAGACAATATGCAGCCCTCCTCCCCATCCTGCCCTCTAGCTGTTTCCTCCCTCTAGCTGTTTCCTCCCTCCTGTTACCTGGCAGACGACGGGGAACTGAGATCTGTGGACGTGGTGACCATCAATCCCCAGCGGGAACACAGCAGCCAGAGCCATCATGCAGCCCACCGCTGTCATGTTGTTCAGGTACGGCTGAGAGTTCTGGATGTACCTGGAACAGTGACAGATTCACACATGAGGACAGGGAAACAAACAAATTCAGGGAAAAAAACACACTGGTAATTACAATTTCTGCTTAGAGGCACGAATGGTCAATTTGAAGGTAAACAGAGGTTAATTGTGTAGGTGACCTGGCTGTCTGCTCGTAGAAATGTCATCAATTGCTGTTCATTGTTTCTTTTAAATTCATATTTTATCATCTGTATTTTCTGATTCAGACAGCAAAATGCATTTCCTTGGATGTGGGATTGATGGTCATTTGTCTCATAAGTGTAATTGTTACAGGGGAAATACAAATGTTCTATAACAAAAATGTAGTGAATGTAAAAAAAAGGACATTTGTGAAACCGCAAACCAAACTAAACCGTTTAAGTTAATAAGCTCTGGCATACTCAAATGAGACAGTGTGAAAAAAAAATTGTTTGGTTAATTAGTAATGGTTATTCCCACAATGCAATGCAGAAAGAAAGTGCATGATCTGCTTAAAGCTGGGTGAATAATAATGAAATACATTTTTGGTAGATAAACTGATCCAAAAAGATATTGGAAAACTAGGAAAAAATGTAACTTTACAAATGTCTGTTGATAAAGTTGAATTATCACTATTATTCCAAAAAAATCAGTTTAATGGACGAGTGATCATCCATGTTTTGTCAAAGTTATTCACTTTACACTTAATCTTTCAGTTTCTCAGAAATATCCAAATTGAAAAAACTGGACTTATACTGGGTTACTGGACAGAAAGGTTATACCAAATGTATATCTGAAGTGTGAATTAAGCCGTGAGACCAATTAAGTAAACAGTACAATATTTTCCACAGAGATTTTCGTGCATGGGCAAACATATTTGGAACATTTTATCAAGAACACAATGGAAAAAGTGAAGCACAGTATTTAAGGAAATATACTTAGTTACATTCCTCCACTGGGGACTTCTACCCAGTGTTTTATACATGCTGCTATAGAGAAAACCTCACTATTATAATACTCTCAAAGACTGCAGATTTGGGTGTTATAATATTTTCTGCACTTTATGATAACACCAAGTGAAGCAGCTTTCCTCTGGCCCTCAGCTCCAGCTCTTCCTGCAGCAGAAGGTGTCTTTGGTTCTTTCATCCTGCTGACCTACCATTGTGTCGCCCAAGGCCACACTGCTTACTTACTGTACAGCAACACTATGTACAGCCTGCATACACACACACATTAACATACACGCATACGCATACACACACACACACACACACACACACACACACACACACACACACACACACACACACACACACACACACACACACACACACACACACACACACACACACACACACACACACACACACACACTGGCCCCTATCCAACCTTTTGATACCTCAGAGAAACCTTTAATGCTGTTACACACCATGCATATGTGATGTTCAGTGCACTGCAGGAGATATTTTCTCATGTCTAGTGGTTGCTTTGAATCCGAGCTACTATTAGAAGAATATTTTCCTCTTGCATGTTCATGTCTCTGGGAATTGAATATTTTTTTAATAAACTAAGTTCTTGTTTGATCTTCAAGGACCAACATTGGATTGCTCATGATGTTTTAGATCACTGTGAGATTTTCTGGGATCAAACTGAACTGTAGCTTCCCTGGACACATTAGAAGATCATATCAATTGGCATATTTATCAAATGGTTAATATTAATAGTGTTTTTGTCAAACCTTTGCTTAACCACACATGTTTGTATTGAAATCCAAAAATATGATTTATTTAGCAAAAACTGTTTTCCATGAGCCCTTAAATGGAAACAAGACACATGGATATTTCTTCACAGTATTTTGGGATGTTTCTAATTTCTTTTGCACATTTTGAGGTTGAAATTCTTAATAAAGCTCTCGAAAACCAAAGGGAGCTGCATATTCAGAGGATAATTATTGAGCATTGCCATTTGATACAGGGCTATGATTAAAAACAAAATCTATTGTTTTTCACTTTTCTTTGTTCCCAAAATTGTTATGTTTTTTTGTCTCTCACAAGGCAGTTGGCGGCAAAGTCTTTTTGTGAAAACAGCTTACAGAATACATTTGATTTGATCTGACTCATACTGTTTTGGCTGCTGAAATCAGCCCTTGTGAAACTGTTTTTGAAATATAATCAAAGCCAGAGGAAGGCCTGACTGGCACACCAAAGCCAGTCTGAGATCCCAAACGAAAACAAACCTTTTCCAGCTTTAGGAAAAACTCCTGATAAGCTCGTGGACTTGTGGGACTTTAAATCCCTTTGACCTCGGTCAAACACAAAAATACTTTGTTAAAAAGAAATCAGAGATATGCTGCGGCAGGTTCACAGAAATATATTAAGCTTAGAAATCCGAGATGAAAAGGCAGTTTTTAAAGGAGGTCTATTTGCATTTGGTCTAGGGCTAAGCTTAAGCTATGACAACGATACCAGATGCTAGATTGGAAAACGCCATACCCAGATAACTTTGGATTCACTGAACTCGAGAGGCAGCGATGCCTTTCAGCATTTACATTAACCCCAACAGAGGTGAGGTCTCTGTTGAACAGGTGCATTCTTTTTTTTTCACAGCCTACAAAAACTCCCATTCACACACGGAGCCTCCACAGTGACCTGCTCTGATGGAGCAGCTGGGTGTTGTTACAGGATGTTCTTCCCATTCACTGCTGCACAAACAGCTGACCTTGATGTAACAATGAAATATATTTAACCTCCGAGGCCCAACTTAGTTTATCTATCAATTTTCATTTTTTCCAAAAATCCCTTTAATGATGACCTCGTTCTCTGAAGGACACATTTACTTTCACAATTCCTCGAAGCAGTAAACATGAAAGATATATTATTATAATATAAGGATGAATAGGACAACATTTAAACTTAACTGTTTGGTCAACAAAATATCATAAGTCAGTTTAAGATACTCCTGACAAATTCTTAAAGCCCATTGCTTTAAAAATGTCTGATTTCTACAGCCAACTGTTAAGCCCCAAGCCTGTTTTTCAGGTCTCATGCTCAAAAATGACATTTCCAGAACAAATGACCATAACTACACTTCTAAAAGGGGAACATTTATAATCTTTTTTCTCAAAGTAATGATAAACCTGTGAGTTGGATGTAGAACAGTCAGAATCAATATAGATGTTTTTTTATTTTAAAGAAAATTCAGATTGAACATAGTAAAAAACTGTAAATTTGAGTGTCCGTCCAAAAATTCTTTTTTACTTATAGTGAAAACCACCCTTGGATGATGGGTTGGTAGACTAAAAGCTTTAGGAATCCAAAGTACAACATATAATAAGTACCCTGTATCAAGATTGATGCAAAACAAGTGGCATTTGACCTTTTTAGAGAGGTTTAGCAAAAATAATAACTGAATAATAAAATTGTGAAAGTAACTGATTTGGGTGGAAATGGGCGTTCTTGCCGTTTCTCTGGAACCCATTGGTCGATTTTGGTGATTGACATCTCTTTTTAACCGTTAGAGCCAATAGAATCGAAGGGGAATTTTTACATACACACCAACGTTAACAAAAAAAAGTGGGGGCTTCGCGCATGCAGTTTTGGCCAGAGCGAACCTATCTCTCGCTCTGACATCTGAAAATGGGAAAGTCGGTTTATTGCTTATGGATTATCAGAAATCATTTCAAAGGGACACAGACACATTGGATTAACCTTCAGCAGCGTTTTTATCGTTTTAATGCCATTGAAGACCACTTTTGACCAGACAACGACAAAGGTAAGCCATTTTGCCGTTTTAGCTACCTAGCGCCACATGTTTTGATGTCTTTTTTGTTTATAAAGTCGCGAGTTCTTATCATGGAGTGATAATGTAGGTACCGATCGATTCTGTGTCTTCTCACGATGCTAATCGATGGGTTGGACGTACAGCTACGATAAGTAATAAGGGTGTTATGAGTGAGTTTCTGTGCAGTAATGCGTTAACATTTTTTCGCTCGTGGCTAATTTAGAGGCTGAGCGTTAGCTTTGTGGGGTTTTTTGACAAAAAAAAAAAAAAAAGATCAGTTAGCTGAGTTTCTTCCCGTTACATGGACATAAAAGATTCATAGTTTATTAAATATTAAGAAGCCCTCAGACACTGTTTCTTGCAGATGTTGTGGTTTCGGCCCCTTCGGCGGGTCCGTGGGGCTTAACTTAAAAGGCAAATATATTAAATATACTTTATTGTAAGACCAAGAAAAGCTACAAATTCTCACATTTGAAAAGATAAAATCACTGTTTGGGAGTTTTGCTTAAAAATCGACGATTAATTGATTCTCAAAATGTTCATTTTCTGTCGATTGACTATTCACTTATAGCTAACACACTTATAGCCCCAATGAATGAAAGAACTTCAGCTGACCGTTGGGCTGTGATTTAAACAATAATATTTCCTGTTAGTCAACTCACCGGACGTTTCCGTTGTAGATGTTGAAGGTCAGACAGACGATGCCGAACAGGATGCCGAGGCCAGCGAAAACGGACAAAGCTGCAAACAGCTTCTGAGACAAGTAGCGGTACTCTTCGATCACCACTGTCCGATCAGCCGGAGGACCAGCACCTGAAAGAAAAGAGAGATAATTAGACAACTTCACTACGTTTCAGTGACATATATTGTACTTTTTATAGAACATATTAACAATTTTGAAGCTTTTCAATATTGAACATATGCTCTGTTAATTAAGTATGATCTATTTGTACAGATACATCTACAACAAGCATGAAGTAGCTCCACCTTGACCAACAACGACATTGAAGTACTGCTAACATTTTAATACAACAATTCCAATGTTACAGTAGACACTCTTTTGTTGCTAATACATCGACACTTCTACTGAAGTGACATTTTAACAACTTTTACTTTGAATGGAGTATTTTTACACTGTGGTATTGTTATTTCACTGGTAAAGTTCAGTAGATAGCGTGCACATGTACACAGCCAGCGGGTTAGCTTCAGTGCATAAACTCCAAAACCTCCATGCAATATTGGTAATGCTGAAGCACAGCCAATATACAGCCATGCCAATGCTAATTTGGTTACTACAGTAAAGTTGTAAGCAAATAGAAACCTTTGGTGTTAATTAAGAGTAAAAAGTGTGTGTGTGTTTATGGGAACGACCCCCTTAGTTATGCTTGTGCTGCTTTTGGATTCCTCAGCGAGAAGAGTTCAAATAGTGGCAGATGGACAGGGAGCCTCGGTTCACCCTCAACAGCCTCCGACTATCCGTCTGCTAAATCTAGGACTGATTTGTGTGTGTGTGTGTGTGTGTGTGTGTGTGTGTGTGTGTGTGTGTGTGTGTGTGTGTGTGTGTGTGTGTGTGTCCATGTGTGCACTCCTGAATGTGCCAATAAGGACTGTGCCTGTATATATACCGTATTCACAATAAGCACCTATATACATGAATGCTCAAGAGTGAGTGCATGGGGACATTTATGTGTGCATACAAGATTCAAGGCTTTTATTGTCATGTGTACATAGCTACAGTGTAGTTATGTCAATGACTTAGGTCACAGGCTCCTCCAACAGTGCAACAGAAAATAAAACGATATATTAGATCAATTGTTTTTTTAAGTTGCAAACAGATGAATGTTATGGATGTTGTTTCAAAAGTTCAGGTGTTTAACAGTCTTATGGCTTGTGGAATGAATGAATACAGTGTGATTAAGTGTGTGTGTGTGTGTGTGTGTGTGTGTGTGTGTGTGTGTGTGTGTGTGTGTGTGTGTGGTGTGTGGTGTGTGGTGTGTGTGTGTGTGTGTGTGTGTGTGTGAGAGAGAGAGAGAGAGAGAGAGAGAGAGAGAGAGAGAGGAGAGAGAGAGAGAGACGAGAGAGAGAGAGAGAGAGAGAGAGAGAGAGAGAGAGAGAGAGAGAGAGAGAGAAATAGAGGGTGACAGAGTGTTTGTCTGCATGTCAGGGGGGAAGCAGAGCAGGAGTGTCAGCCCGGCGTGAAGCTGATGTGTCAGATGTCAGAGGGAAGTGTCGGGGTGTCGTCCCCTAGGGGGTCGCAGTGTCAAACCAACACTCCCCATCATGCTCTCTGTTTAGATCATTGTCACTGTCGTCACACCACCGTCGTATGTGTTGTTTCAGCTGAGGTATGACGACATAAAATAGTTCTGCAGGGTTTATAGAGTTACTTTTTAAACTTTGTAAAGACCTTTTTAATGCCACATCTAAAGCAATTTATTTCAGGATCATGCTTGCCAACGTATGAACCTGAAACAGGTATTAAATTAGAGTCTGATGGAAATCCAGTAGGAAACATATGGCCTATTAATCAGTATATCACATTTATGACTGTATTAGAGTATTCTGTATAAATTACTTCAATTATTTCCTGAATTCAACAGTTGCATATTATGAAACGATTAGCTTTATTGTTAGTAGAACTACGATCACTGTCTATGCCAGACAAAACTCAATATTTTGGAAACTAAATATAACTATTTTTAAAGAGGCCCTTTTATGCTTCCATAACATATATGACATCACTATGTAACACTTCTATTGGCTAGCGCTTCAACACATTGTATGTATAGGCTAAGGGGCGGGACATCTCCAAGCAGTTGGCCAATCATAGCAAAGCAAGCCAGCTAACCAATCAGAGCAGACTGGGCTCTGGTTTCAGACAGAGGGAGGAAAGAGGTGCTGCAGCACAGGCAGCATGAGAAAAATAACGCACTTTTTGAACATTAAAGCATGGAGACATGTCACAGTAGAGGGACAACATACAAATATTAACCTGAAAAGAGCACAATAGGGCACCTTTAAGACTTTTCAAGACCTGTAGATATGCTTCAATGTAAGCGTTCCACATTTTTCACGTGACATAAAGAAGATGTTGTATATGAAAATGTTTGTCCATCTGTGCAATTTACAGCATATCTCCTATCCGAGCAACATGAAAGCATTCAGTTCCACAAATGTGCAGTGACCCAACTCGTCACATATATGTGTTTTACAAAGGTAGCATACACGTGACAGATGCTGCCAGTGATTTGAGAAAAACAGGAAAGGAGAGCACTTAAAGAGCCAAAATGAAGCATGAATTTACAAGCAATGCTCTGGAGATGAGAAGAAAATTATAACAATGCTGTCTGATAAATAAAAATACAACCCTGCAAACATTAATTTAATATTTCTTTTTTTCGGCCTTCTTCAAAGCTCTTTTCCCACAAGCTATTAACCTGCAAATCAACAACTGTTTCATCAATATCCCATGTTTTTAATCTCGCTTTTCTAAAGTCTATAACCTTGCTTTCATTAAATATGACTAAAAGCTGTGTTATTTAGTTTAATGTTATTTAAATTGCATTCTTTTTATTCTCTGCTGTTTAATTGTTTTGTGTGCCCCCTTTGAATTCAGCTGGTTAGCACAGAATTTAACATAAAGCCCACTTTTATTGCTACAATGATATGCATTAAAGCAAATACTACGCACAGAATATGTGAATGAATTAGTGCACAGCATGAAACAGCATAACTAATACTGCGTGTGTGTGCATATGTGTGTGCATTTGTCCACGGTCCATTCAGTCAACGCGCAGCACTATTTAAACCCTCCTCCATCCTTGATCAAGGAATCAGGACAGGGTGTTGCCATGGAGACCCAGCTCTATAACAGTTGCCACAGCGATTAGAAGAAGAGCTGAGCTGAAGTGGTTGTTAGGGCGACCGTGCAGTGAGAGTGAGAAAGGGAGGCAAGGGAGACGCCTGGTAAACACGCAGGAAAACAAGTGGCAGGGTTAAGTTGAGAAAACCCCCCTGTGTACTCCACCCTGTCAGCGTGGAGCAAATCAAGCGCGCCCCAACTGTCGAAGAAACGTACCCCAACTGACTCAGAACCAGAAAGCAGGAAATTACTCATTTCCTCTCAACGGGTAGATGTCAGATGAATGTGTCTTTGTTTGGTAAACAGCATACAATCAAATCATGCTCCAATGTATTGAAGTCCATTTACTCAAATATTGTAATTAAGTACGATTTTGGTGTACTTGTACTCAAATTGAGTATTTTTATTTGATGCTTCTTTATACTACTGCACTTCAATTTGGAAGCCAATATTGTACTATTTACTCCATTACATTTATTAGACAAAGTTAGTTACTATTTACTTACAAATGAGGATTATTACTAGTTAATACAATATATAAATAAACAAATAAATAATATAATTATAGGTTAAGATGTGAGCGGTAGAATATAATTCAAAGTCTCTCCACCTTTAGCAGCTGTGATGAACACATTAACGCAGCAATAATTATACTCCAGTAATTTAATATATACAGTGTGATTAGAAAATGGGACATTTTGCACAATAGGTGCTTTTACTTTTGGTACTTGAGTATATTTTAATGTCAATACTTTTGTACTTTTACTTACGTAAGACTTAAAATGCAGCACTTTTACTTGTAACGGAGTATTTTTACACAGATATTTTATTTATTTTAAGTCAAAGTAGAGTACTTCTTCCACCTCTGGAAGCAAGGCAACACAACCCGTCTCTGATAGGTAGGAGAGCCAGTCGGTTTCTATCCAGCTGGTGCTAACTGGGCTAACACAGAGCCTGTCACAGAGCCTGTCACGTTGCAACATGGCGAACTGATGGAGGACATGTTTCCTGTGTGCATACAGGTCACCCATCCCTCGCCACCGATGCTGACCTGGAATCACTACCTCTACTGGGTTAAGTTAAAGCTTGGCAACTGATCGTTTCTTTAAAGGCCTAAAAAAAGGCGGCTCTCTACGGACCACTGAGGCGTACAGGATTGATTAGTGGCAAACTCTGTCCAGGCACAAGTATGTCACCTCTCCAGGGAGGGACGGACCAGTAAACAACCACATAATTGGTCTTGGTGTCTGAGGAAAATCAGCAGTAAAAGGTTTTCACAGCAAACTAGAATACAGGCAGCAGGAGTTAGAAAAGAAGGTGTGTGTGACCTGGGCTCCAGCTTTTTCAGCAGAATGGCGTAAAAGCAAACTCTTATTCTGGTTTTGAGGCTTAAGGTGATGAGGGAGAGACTTGAGGCAAAGGTGAAAAAAACAAGACCATGCCGGTGTTTTATAAACGATGGGCAGTTATTGTATTTGACCCGTTGGCTTGGCCCACTTACAAACTCGGTCAGCAGTCGGTCAGCAGTCGGTGCGCAGCAGCGGCTGTGACACACAGCTCAAGGAGGCAACTCTACTTGAATAACCTTAGCAAACAATTGCTGCAATTTGCCTCATGCTTGCACTCTTTCTCACTCATAACTCAAATCCAAGCCCACAGAAACATTCTAACCAAAGGCATCTCTATTTTATTGAGTGTGACTTGAGGATATCATTATCTCCAATGTCCATCACAAATAAGTGTACATAAGTCTGCCAAGAAATCAGAAACAAAAGGCGCTCTTTATGTCCCAGAACTTGGCTGAAAATCATCTCTTATTTACAGTTTTGTTACGAAATCCAGTGATAGCTGTTGGTACATCCATGGGTACATTCCAAACAGGTACAGCTTACAGCTAATTCGTCATACTTTTAAAAGGTAAAACATTTTTGTAGCCTACAGTTTACTAACTGGGGGAGGTCAGTGTTAGGAAGGCTGAGTTATCTTGATTTTGTGTGCGGTTGAACCCACAATGTTAGACATTGAAAACTCCTGGCTTAGTCAAACCTAGTTCTGCCCTGTTTGATAACCGAGCATCTGCTGCACCAACACTTAAACACATGTTGGAGAGTGGGAGTGTGGGCAGCTCCCTTTGGGCGAGCATCAGCTTCCAAATAACTAGCTTCAACCAATCTAGCGGTTAGAAGAAATCCGGCATGATTATATGTATTTTACACAGTAAGGAATCTAAATCAAGCCGCACCGAGGAGGTCTAATGTCAAAGCACAAAAGATGTGACTCTGTTGACTCACAGCCTGACACACAGGATACAAACACAGACGCAGGAAGCTGAGTGAAGACAGTGTCATGATCTCCATCTTACCTATCCAAACATCATTGCCAAACCAGGAGAGATTCTTCTGGGAGCTGTCATAGTAACTGATCTTCTTGTAACTGCCTCCTAGATGAGGAAAAAAAGGAAAGCAGAGAGTGAAAGAATGAAAGGAAGGCACAACATCACGGAAAGAAAGAAGGCTTAATTAGTATTGCTTGTGTAATTCATTTCCTCCCCTGGATCGTGATGCCTATACAACTTGGCATAACTATTCTATTCATAAACCACTATTTAGCTATTATTGTATTATTCCTGTGCTTTCACATTGATGGTTTGCGTGGGTACAGGAAATACACACAATGAACTGAAAAGAAATGAGGAATGAAAAGGTGCATAAAGAAGGACAAACAAAGAAGTACCAAGGGAAGGAGGAAAGAGAGGGAAAAAGGAGCTTATGTGGCAGTCTTGACCAGGAATACTGATGAGGTCCCCGAGTGACTCAGGGATGCAAGTCAGGTCGTCTCATTGTGGATGTCAAATTACCTCGACACCACAACAGGAAATATGAGACAGAGTGTGAGGGGAAAGGGGCAGGATTATAAATCCTCATCCTTCAGGACGCCAAAGGGAACAGAGGTAGAAAATAATCCTCACCCTTATCCTGTGCGGGGAAACTCATTAACTCACTGGTGACAAATAGGATGCCAGTTCCAGAAACGGCTTAAAACGGAGGCTTGTGCCCAATTAGAGTGAAGCCTTGAGTCAACAAAATCCTGCATCAGACCATTCGTATGTTCAATTATAGGATATTGAGACCAATCACACAGAAGCCCGCAACAATCGCTCACCGAAAAAAGAGGCTTTGCTCTGAAATGAGCTGAGAGCAACAATCGATACATAAGGGAAACACTCAGCTGTGATATTTCCTTTAAATTAATAAGTGACATTGTTTACTTCCAAACAACATCTGTGGGAGGACAGTGTGGGAGTGTTTTACCTTGCAGTTGCTCGATAAGAGTCATCGCCATCCTGGATCCCTGGGCGTCAAACACCACTTGGCCCTGAGACACAGAAGAAAGGAAGTGTTCTTTTTGCTGCAAATGATTAACTACTTCCTTGAAGGAATAGCTTGACATTTTGATAAATACACTTACAGGCAAATTCACAAGAGTTGAATTGCAGCCGCTGATAGCTCCAAGAAAGGCAAACACTATCTGCTCTTATCTCAAGGTCCAAATCAAATCTATTGTGGTAATGGTACTACTGCATAAGCACTGCCATAAAATGAATAGAAATGTTCCCTTTTTTTGAGTGTGATTGCAATTATCCATGTGGCGAAGCATAAATGTTGCCTTTGTGCCAAGAGCATGGTGGGCATGTCATAAAAAAACCTGAAATGTTTAGACCGCAAGCTACAAGTCCTGACAGACGAGGTGCAGGCTTTGAATTAAAATGCGACAGAGATAAACCATATTTAGGATTTAATATCCCAGTCAGTCAGTGCTGCTGGTGTTTTTTATCCGCACACCTTAGGACTGTAAAAGAAGATGGCATGATTTGAAGCAAAGAACAAAAGAAAGTCAGGGCGTGACACCTCTTATAAACGTGCTTCAGGTACCACCAACTCTAAGTGTTTTCAGTGATACTGCAAGCGCTTATATGGGCTGATCTTTGTGAATTTTAGTTTTTGCAATAATGCTCATAAAATGGGACCAATCTTGCGCCAAATGTATGCTTATTTATATACATGAACAAGATGCATTTTGCTTGGCGGCACAGTCAGGGGTACGTTTCACTTTGCTTCGAGGATTATACGATTTCCTTTCGTCCTTTTTATTCACATTTAGATTCCAAGAAAGGCCACACAAATTCACTTCTGAATTGCTCAAGGACTGGAAACACTTGCTTTGGTTGGTAACAGCAAAATATATGGTAATAAATATAATCTTTTTGTAAAATGGGATATTCTTACCAACATTTTTGATGTGTTTTTATCTCCTAATATATAAGTTTATACAACCTGGATAGAGTGTTTGCTTGTTTTCAACCTGTTTGATCATCTGACAGTGTATCCACTTCACTTCATCATAAGTGTTCCCATTTGTAATCATTAACAGAAATGATGGACAGAAATAAGTGGTAAATTGTCTTGAACATCTTTGTTCTCTTTAGAGAATGTGGAATCTAATGCAACACACTCAGCCAAAACTTAACAAAGAGAGGTGTCAATTTAACTATATGTCTTTTATTGAGGTTGTAATATAGTTTGCAGTGGTGATGAACTGGACTGCATTATATTGACAGGTGTATATCATTTTTGACATGCTCTATTTAACAAAACATGAGGGGGAAAGATGACCAGAAACAGTTTTCAGTATAATGCAGTGCACTGCAATACAACGGAGAATTAAGACTTAAGATATAAACAGATCGTTGAAATTACAAAAACAGACCATCAGAAGCTTTTTATAAGCAGAATATGAGTAAGAGCTGCTGCGCTGGACTGCAGTAGATTTCACAGTCTTGTTAATGAGGTGTACAGGGAATGCATGTGAACAGTTATTAGTACATTAATTACACTATATTCAACTATTTCCATCCTGAAATAGTTAACACTCGGGTCCTTTTACCCTAAAACAAGGACTATTTCTAAACACTGCATATTGATGTATAATAAATAACTTAACAGGAGCAAAAAAACATTATTTTTTTATTATCTATAATTATTTTTTTATCATCCTTCTCACTTACCGAAACACCTTCGAAGGAGCTGGTGTTGAGGGCCCTGTAGATCTCGGAGGTGATGTCATGGTTGTTGTAGTTGAAATCCTCCAGTCGTCGACCCTTGGCCTTCAGGGGGGCCACGGTCTTATTGAGGGCGAGGGCCAGAGCCCACACTGCATCGTAGGCGAGAGGAGCCTCCTGAAACCCCCCGGTGTCCTCTGGGTTCTTTCCACCGAGACGAGACATCAGGGCGGCGATAAACTCCTGCGACGTCTGGAAGAAACATGACAGGAAGAATATCACAGAGAACTCTTTCCTAAGAAATGCAATGCTTCAAACAAGACAACAACATGTCTATGAGGCCTAATCAATGGCAAAGAAGAGGAGAATGTAAAAGGGAATCAGTTGTGGATGATCTGGAGGGTTTATGGGGTCACGCCTACATGAATCCATACTTTCCCGATTAAAGTGGGTTATTTTGTACAAGAAATCGTCTTAAAACCTCAGGGTTTCCATCATTTTTTTTGCAACCGCGGCAACCCGCCAGGCCTAAGTCGACCCCCCACTAGGCCTAAGCATCTTATTACAACGTATATTTAAGATGTTAAAGTTTGTGTTGAACACTAGCAAGTGCGGTTATGAGAAAGAGAAAGAAAGACACACACATAGAGAGAATAAAATACAGTGAGAAAGGAATGAGTGTGTGTGTGTGTGTGTGTGTGTGTGTGTGTGTGTGTGTGTGTGTGTGTGTGTGTGTGTGTGTGTGTGTGTGTGTGTGTGTGTGTGTGTGTGTGTGTGTGTGTGTGTGTGTGTGTGTGTGTGTGTGTGTGTGTGTGATGGCGAGCTGGTAATTATAATATCATTAAACTGCCAATCTGCCATCACCTGCAAATCATCTCCTTTCAGCCCACGGTACCATGTTGAGTGTTAGTGCAGCGGTTTGGTTGAGGGAGAGAGAGTGTTTGTGTGTGTGTGTGTGTGTGTGTGTGTGTGTGTGTGTGTGTGTGTGTGTGTGTGTGTGTGTGTGTGTGTGTGTGTGTGTGTGTGTGTGTGTGTGCGTGCGTGCGTGCGTGCGTGCGTGTGTGTGTGTGCAATGAGTATGAAGTCAGTGGTAACAAAGCTGTGCAGTGTGTGTACGTTTTATTTGACTGTGATTAAATGCTACTAATGCTCAAGACCACCTGATGACTTTGAAGGACCTGGTTAGTTCCGAAGCTAACAATTTCAAACACCACCTGTTATTTAAATGTAAGCATAACACCCCAACATTTTGGTGGAATTGAGAATAAAGACATTCAGTCATTGTATTCCTTTTGTACATTTAAGCATTTTTTGTAATTAGTACCATTGAGAGTTCTCCCGCTAAAAGCAGGGTTACATGACGGGAGATTACAGCTACAAATCATCCAGATGTCCCTGTGGATTTTCTTAGGCCAATTAGGGCCCACACAGCCCCAATTCACTTATGTCAAATTCATCTCATTGAAATTCCACCTTGGCATTTGGCATTTAAATCTGCCACTACCTACTGAAAACTAGCTGACAATGTGCTATTGCAAAACCCGCAGTACTGGAACACCGGCTCCACCTGAATGCTCTATCTAAAAGTAAAATGCCAATTTCGAACTTGGAAATTGAATTTGAATAGATTGACTATGAGTTCAGGCTGTAATTCTTATCACCCGTCGAGCAGCACGTCAACAGCAGAATCAGCAGGTAGCGGCAGGTGCTGTATGAATATAAACAACAGCTGCTGATGGAGTGCGAGAGAGAAAAAGGAGGGGTGTTGGGAGAGATGGGGGGGGGAGGGGGGTGTTGGTGGGAAAGGTGGGAATGATAACGAGAACTGAAAGGGAAGGTGGGTAAACAAGAAGAATAAAAAGATGATCCACCAGCAGAGTCAGAGAAGGTCGAACAATGGGGGAGACAGAGAGACGCAGAGACAGTTTAAGAGGATTAGAGGAGGTGAACAGAGAAGAGCGACGGGCAAAAGAGAAGCAAAGAGCGACTGCCTGAGAGGTACACATATAAAGAAAGATGTTCAGAAGGAGTGTGACAGCATTAAACATCTATTTTCTACCTCTTATGAAACATAACATTAATTCTTGTCACACGCCGTTCACTGTAGCTAGGGAGAAAAATAAATATCTCATAGGAATTGATCCTTTTACATGAATGGCTGAACACTTTTGTTAGGGACACGGATAAGAAGAACTGAATAGTTAGAAAGAGAACTGAGTTCATTACAATGAACAGATAAAAAGAGCTCAAACACAATTAACAGAAAATCCAATAAGGAAGACATCAAAGTGTCTAACTGACTGACAAGCGACCTCTGGAAATTACAGTGCAGGGAAACTGAGAGAAGTGGAAAAATATATTATTTGACACAATTTTAGAGCTTATTATTTATTTGTATTTGGTTTTGTCTTTATTCTCAATATAAAACAAGACTATGAGTGTTAGCAGCTCTTTGAGACTTGACTTGGTGCAGCAGAGCTTAAACTAAATATCAGCACGCAAACATGCTAATTATAAACATGTTTTTCTGGTATTGCAAAGTGACATTTGCATATACTTTTTACTCAGAGGTACACAATTAACACTTTATCTGCACTTAATCCCTGTTTTTTCTTTACACCTTTTGGTGATAATTAGCGTGAAGCAAAGTGTTTCTTTTCTCAGGATCTAAGTATCCCATTAAAATATGTAAATGGAAAATGAAACGTTGTTTTCCTCACCTGTCACTGTTGCAGGTCACTGAACATTTCTACCAGCCACGAAAAGAAATTGTCAGCCACTTCTGAAATCTATGTATGAGTCAGTGGAAGATATATGGTATATATGTAACATTAATCCGTGATTAATTTAGGGTGACCCAAATGTTTACCCGCCACATTTACCCTGTATCTGGCAGGTGCTATTTCTATTCCCTGTTAGTGGTGTTGCGCTTCAAGAGGATTTAAGGATGTTATATGCAATATTTATTTCCATAATTTTACTTCTTATTTATTTTGGTTTCTGATAGCTTTCTTTAACGATTGTTCCTTAGGTTGTCTGATATGTTGTATTTGCATTTTTATGTATTTGTACCTTGGGAAAAACTTAATTTCCCATGTGTACAGGTGTGCTCTATTTGATGTCGGTATAATCTCTTAAAAAAAATTGCATTGGACTTAACTACCTTATGTATTTTGCATTGTGATGGAGATCATTATCAATTAGTTTACTCAATTTCAAAAATACAATATATTATTGTCAATTACAGGAATGAATAAATATCTCTCTAGTAAAAATAGAATAGTAGAGGGTGAGATGAAAGTGTTTTGTGTGTTCCCACCATGTTGGAGACGCCGCGGACCGTCTCAGGATTCAGCATGACGATCTCGGTGGTCACGTGACCCTCCACGGCCTCCGTCATGTTCTCCACAGTACAGTCGATCGCTGGGTCTTTGATCTTGAACCAATTGTCTGCGTACCAGCCTATCAAGAACCACACAACCTTCTTCCCATAGAGCTTCTCCTTGAACACCTGCAGCAGGGGGAGAGGGAAGCCAGATACGAAGGGTGGATGAAAGGGTGGAAATGATAAATAAGCATGAGTGAATTATTCCCAGAGATGTGTTGAGCATGTTGTATCACTGCCAAACAAGGAAATACAGTCAGACACTCAAACAGCTCATTGCAGTGCTCAATTTCAGCTAATAGCGCGTCAGGTTCAGTCTATTGGGATCAATTGAGCAGGAAGAAAAAAAAGATACTAACCTCACAGAACACCTTCCTGGCTTCGGTCTCATAAAAGAGCCCCACAATGATCCTTGCATCTTGGCGCTGCGTCAAAACATGAAAACAAAACATTGCTTAGTTACACTCGCAGAATATAGCTTCACTACAGCACAGCTTGAAGTGGAAGCGCAGCACGCCAAAGTTCCTGCTGCTTCTCAGGACTGCACGTACTGCACGTACTGCTGTTCAGGAGTTGCTAATTAGCATGGTGCATTAATTTCTTCTATCAAATCGCCTCTATGCTAATGGTATCGTGTGCAGCTGTGAGCCGGAGGAGGAAGGAGAGGGGGAGAAACGACCAGCAGCTGAGGTGAATTTTTAATCAAAGCACCTTGAGGTTTTTGACAGCGACAGCCGGGTCGGTGAGGAAACTCTGACGAACGCTGATCTCGATGCCTGCCTCCTTCGTCCTTTGCTCCAGATCGTCCAGAGTCTGCCAGATGAAAGGGAAGGACAGAGGGAGACAGACAGGGAGAGGGGGGAGAGAGGGGGAGGTTAGAAAGGCAGCTGAACCGAGACAGAGAGAGGTGCCGGGCTGAGATTATACCAAAAAAAAGAAAAGAAAAAAGCAAGTCCGAAGAGACCAAAAATAAAAATTCTGAAGTGTATATGAGAAATGTCAAGAGATGGATGGAGGGTGTGTATGATAAACAAGAGAGGCAGCATGGGAGGGAATAGATTTGAACACAAAGAACACAAGGTGAAAGCAGAAAAGAAGAATGTGAGAAGAAGGAGGAAAGACTGTGAGAGGAGGATCATTAACCTCCATTACAGGAACCAACCCAAGTGTCATGGTATCGACCACCGTGCCTGGGAGAGATGTATTGCTTGATCAATATTTCTCACAGCCAATACTCCAACAAATTACTTCAAAAATCCTCCATCAATCGCCTGGAGAGATTGAAGGAATATCGCATAGCCTGAGAACACAACGGCTCTCATAAACAAACATAGAGAAGCCGGCAGGCAATAAGGCAACCTGACACTTTAGCAAAAATGATGGAGCCAAAGAAAGTGATACAAAAAGTGAGGTGTAGGTATGAAGAGGTGAAATTGCAGTAGAGATGTATAATGTGTTGGAAGCTTCTGAAGCAATGGAGACGAAACTCAGAGAGACACGAGGAGAGCTGGAACTTGATGGCACACACTGGCGGTTTATTTGGAGTTGCGGCCGGAGAATTGACAAGACATGTCGTGCGCCACGAGGTGACACAGCGGTTGCCAAACCAATTCTGAAGAACTCTTCTGTAGTTCGAGGTTTTAACTTGTTCGGAGTGTAATAATCAACATTCCTCATCAGTGAGACTGAACAAATATGGACCCTGAATCTAACTAGAGCTGTCGTCCATAGAAAATAATGTGCGCCAGGAAACCTACGTCCCTGAACAATAAACTATCTCATGTCAGCTTGTGCTCCGTCAAGACTGGCAACAACAATGCGCCCTCCTTAAGAGAGATAGCAGCAATACCCAAGGCCGTAGAATTACGCCATGGGAAAAGAGACAGTGAAAGGAGAAAACGATGAACTGTGTCAAAGGTTTAAATACCTGAGCAAATCATTCCCCAACATAGAATATAAAAGGTACTGACTGAGGTGAAGACTTCGGTGGTCTGCTGGATGGTGGCAATGCGGGTCCACTTCCACTTCTGGAAAAGCCGCACCCTGGTGGGGTTGTGAAGGGTGGCCGACGGGTGCGTGCGGAAGAAGGTGGGGAAGCGCTGGCGGTTGGACAGAGCCGGCGAGCTGGAGCCATAGGACAGCTGGAAACAGACAGGAATAGAATAAGAAGCAAACATTGACTCAGGCAGGAGGGATATAGAAGTCTAGGGGGGGAAATAATACTTCTGAAGGGTCATTCTAGGCATCGGTACTAAACAGACTTCAATCAAAATGTATTCAAACTGGACTTCCTTGTCCCTCGCCTGTACACAGTGTTCTTTGAAGGCGAATGGTTCAAACAGAAAACAACACAGAGGAAAGCCAGCAAAGAGACAGAGAATCAGGGAGACAATCCCCGCTCCCATTTTTCATTTTCATCCCCAACCGCTCCATCCTTTCAGCTCCCCTCCGGCTTATCAGGTATGGTGATAAACACTGTAATTTCAATAAGAAATAAAACACTTCCTGCAGGGTTTTGCATGCCTACATTGCCATGAAATTGTGATGACACATTCTGCTATTACAAACAGAACAAATAAAAGAAGAATCTAATTATTGTTGTTGCAAACAGTAGCACGATTGATCATCTGTTTCTTTCATTTGGACCCATATCCTTTTCATTCTTAGGCACAATTCCCACAAGACGCATACAGCTAAGATGTGTGTGGGATGAGGGATGATGAAAATGAAGACACAAACAGGGAGAAGGCTTGTTCTTCTAACAATTAGTTTCATAGTGACAACTGGAGATGAAATCCCCATCCTTTAAAACAGAACCCTGGAGTTTAGGGAGCCATTACAGAGAGTGGAGCCTCCTCTCCAGGTGTCATCTCAGCCCCATTACCCACAAAGCCCTGGGATGTTCACCAATGGGAGCGAGAGGGGGCTTGACGTTAGATGACAAATGTCATGTCAAAGGTGGACCACAATTATTCATTCCTGTGGGAAGAGAGTAGGTAGACGGAGGCATCGATACAATGGGAGGTAAAATATAGAGGAGGTGACAGCTGATCTGGGCACAGCATCAAACGGTCTTCTTTGTCTGACATATGCTCAGTAATAAATATGAAATAACATACTTGAGAATACGCAGGGAGGTTAATTCTTAAGGTTATTTTTTATATTTGAGTTACACAAAACGATCAAAGCCAGCAATGAATTGATGCTATTAACAAGTATTTCCTGAGTAGAAAAAAAGCTTCATCGGTTATTTCGCCGTGCTATAGTTTTGCAATAGATAATAAGTCAGCAAGGGAAAACTAACGCTTTGAAGATGTAATGGATGCACCGTAGAAAAGTGTCTTTTGACTGGTTTCACATGAAACACGTCGTACAGGGTTGTGTGAGACACAGACACTGCTTTGGACATTCAGTTTGTGGAGGAAGCACAGTTGGCTGTGAGCCAGCACATAAATAAGGTTAATTATAAAAGGTATTTTCCACCAAGTTTGTGTAATATGGGTAGGTTAACTTCTACACCGTTTTAATTTTGTCTTAATGAACATTATTCAATTTCATATTCTGTTCTTGTACATATCATTTTCTATTTACATGTATATAGACTTCTTGCACCCTTTTTTTGTATTTTATTATATATGTTGCATTGTTGGAGGAACTCATGTCAGAAGACTTTCATTGCCATTTCTACACTGTAGCTTTGTGCATAAGACAATAAAACCTTTGAATCTTGAATCTACAGACTGCAGTCATCTAAGTAAGGGACCGATTTGCAGAGGAATTGCCAGCTGGTGCTAGCAAAAATAAATGGCAAAAGGCAGATCAAGTTTAATAAAAAGAAATACATAAATATTGAGATTTTGACCCATTTCTGTGCACACCTTGCGTGAACAAAAATAAATAGGTGACTGGCCTATTTTTATGCCTGTAGAGCAGATCTGGGTGGCGCATTAGCACCACTTACGCGCTGCTCTCACGCATGGTGTAGCCAGCTTCATTGATTATAGTGGAAGCGTAGTGTTGCAGCAGCCAATTTGCGAATGGTCAGCATATGTTATGTGTTTCCTGCAGGCTGCCTGTGAGAGAGGATATGTCAGGGAAGGTGAAACCAGGAAGGAAGGAAGGAAGGAAGACTGGGAAGAACGTGAGATGATCCGGCAAATGACTGGGCAAGAAGGAGGATAATGAGGTTATATAGTATGGAAGAGCTGACTGGCGGGATTTCGTAGAGGGCAGGTGGGCAAAGGAAGGAATCTAACATGAAAGGGCGGTAATGGCAAAAACACAGAAACAGGGAGAAAATGTTCCAAAAACAAAAGTATCCGTGTGACAGCTGCATTGTTGTCTAAAAACACATTATCAATGGGACACACCACTGCACTCGGTGATGTGTTCACAGCCATTGTAGTTTATTTTGAGTCTATCCCACACACACACACCCATTCTTTTGCTGTAAATAATCTTTAGCACCATAGATGGATTTATTCAGAGCATGTAGATGGAATTTGCTTGTTATTTTACTGCCATTATAACAGCTCTGTGAGGCTGCACATAGCATGCTAAAATGATAAGAATTACAATAGTTATAGTTTAGCAATATACTATAATCAGCAGAAAGGCTGTAGACGATTTTGAGCCAATTCATCTAATAAATGTCAATCTATTGCAATGGTGTGATGTCTTTTCCAGAAACACCGCCAGTGAGAAACCTATACAGAAAAATGTCGACTCGGATCAAATTAGTAATCAAGCATAGAGTTAACCATTTCAGTTTCCTGCTTCCTATAGAGTAAATGATTAGATGTCTATTAAAGGTTTGTAATGAATGATTGAAGAGGTTGACTTTTGACACAGTGATTGTTCGGCATTATAAATTGAATTGTTCAATGCGGTAAGCACCACAATTTAAATCGCAATCAACTCGGTTGTAAGTGGAGGCACAGATCTCAGAGGCTAATATCAAAAACCAAATCAAAAGATAAATGTGTAATTTGGGTTACATTCTGCAACAAAGCATTTCAAGTAAACCATTTCACATCTTAGAAAATCTGAGGTGCCTTTTTTTGCTCTGCCTTTTATAGTTTGTCCAATCTTGTTTTTCAAAAGGGTTATATTAGCAGCGAACCTGTAGATTTGAATAACTTTAAGTCAAAAACTCCTTTTTACCAACATACAAAGAGCTGCACGCATTTTCCCCGTGTTAACATTCAAATAAAACTTTACCAGACACAAAAACTGTGACAAAAATATAATGGAGCAAAAGCTTCTGCAGCAGAAATAGGCGGATGTTAGCAGCACTCCACCCCATTGAAGCTTCCCAAAAAACGGCAAACAATATCTCTTGATTCTCAGCGTGTCAGTTCTCCAGTAGCCTTGTAGTAGTACATCAATGCATGTCTTTGGCTTACATTGTTTTTATAAAAGGAGATGGGAGATGAAATTAACAGTGTGCCAAGAGAAGCCGATTGAGAGCCACTTCTTGATCAGCGTCCAGAAACGGAGGTTGCTTTTGCCTCCCCAGCGCCCTGATGAGGATGTTTGACATGCAAGGAAGCTTCTGCAGGCAGGCAGCATACAAAAATAATTGAGTGTGGCGGTTAGGAGGTTGTGCCAGTGGTGGCGTGTAGTAAAGAGAGACAGATCTCTTTGTGTGTGTGGAGAATCGGCTGCTCGAGTTGACGGAACGAGGCGGAAATGAAGAGTGGGAGAGAAAGACGGCAGACATGGAAAGGAGGAAGGAAGGAAAGAAGGAAAAAGGATCTGTAATAATAGAGAAGGCCAGCTCCAGGCAGTGACGGAAAGACAGGGAAAAGAAGGAGTCCAAATGTGGAAAAGAGTTTTTAATAATGAGGAAAGAAAGGGTGACAACGAGAGAGAGAACAGAAACCAGAAAGAGGGGCAGATGCCAACCACTACAACTGATTGTTCCCGATGACTAATCTCTAGATGAAACTTCAATTATAGGACAAAGCTAATAAGCAGAGCACTGTGAGTGACAGAGAGGCAGATCAAGAGAAGACAGAGAATGAGATAAACAAAATAAAATAACTGGCGTAAAGGCATAAAAAGCAGCAGTGTTTGAAAAATGACAGCAGCAGAAGACATCTCTTGCTGATCTGGGATGTGTTGGTATTTATTATAAATGAATTATTATGCAGTATGTGGTGTCAAACAATATGTTTTGTCCTGAATGTGGTGCTGCTGTCAGTGCAGTATTGTGGAACTGCCATGTAAAGTGTCACCGCTGATTTAAAGTGCAGTGTGAAATACTTTAAAATCAATAAACAACTACAGCATTGATTTGGGGAACCTAATTATCACATGTGCAAGGGATCATGATTTAGATGTCTGCTCGCAACCATCTCTTAAATACATTGTACATTGCACAAAAGGACTACTTTTAACCAGAAGGACAAGCCAACATAGTTAAAGATTTAGATGTCACGTTTTGTTTGTCATTAGTTGAAATCCTTCTCTAGAGGACTTTTGTCAAGGACAGCACAGAGACAAGGACATGGGATGAGAAGGAACTTTGTCTTCTTAGCTGTTTGTTTGTAATCTCGCTCTTGATCAGTGCGGATGCTCAGTGCAGTTATTTAAGTTGCTTTGGACCAAAGAGTCTAAAAGGCATATGTGTGCATTCATACAGAGCTACCATGCAGGATGTTGTCATGTTTATGGGTTTTGACATATCACTCTTTTTCAACCTCGACCTAAATACAGTGGAGGTGAAGCAACCGACCTTGCTGCGAAAGCCTGTCATTGTCAATGTTCTGCTAAAGAAATAGTCCCTATGAAAACTGTTGACAGTGTGCTCTGTGGATTTTCCAGAGCAACAGGGATACTGGAAAAAGATGTTGCTGCAGATTTTTTTTAAATGTCATTTCTCAATGCTGTTAATCCCACAAACAAAATTCCATTCACAGGTATTGTTGTCGGTGTGGCGGCTGAAATCTCTTAGAGATATCTCAGAAACTAAACCCACTAAACCAAAACTATCTGTATAATTGGATCCCACCAGAGGTAATTGAGAAAATGGGTCTTCTTCCTTTGCAGTCAAAGTGAGCAGACGCTTTAAACTGATGCATTTTTTGGCAATGGTTTAAAGCGGTGCAGATGGGTTAAAAATGTTTTTTTCCATACTTGGCAATGAAGCCCCCCCGCCCCAACATAGCCTATATTTAACTGAAACGTTGACTTTAATTAAGTGTATTATATAAACAGATGTCACATAACGGTATTATGTTAGTTGAAAGCAATAATATGAAGTTGAATGTTGTATTTAAACTCTGCCAGTTATGTGAAATCTGTTGACATAATACATTTAATTAAAGTCAACATTTCAGTTTTTTCAGTGGAGGTGCCACTAAAAGTATGCCGAATACGCTAGTGGGAATTCCTGTTTGCAATGTACTCATGTGTACACTGACAACTATCACTGGAGTACTTTAATAGAGGGGAAACTATTATTATTAAAAAAAAAAAATGTTCTGGAGTTATGATGACCATCTGCTTTCTGTGATATTTAATTGGATTAAAATATATTTATTTGTGATGGATAACATTATATGTTTAAATTATAGAGTGGTGCAGTGACGAGTCCTAAAACCCGGAAGTGAGTTAGCATTTTACCACTCGAAATAAGGTCTGTGGTTGACACAAATTTAAGAGACGGATCACGTTTTGTTCTACGACATTAAATACATCAGCAGTGACCCCACTGGTGATTTTTGAAGAGTTTACGTGTCTGAAAAACGATGGTTGTTAACAAGTGGCTGAATAGGACTACAGAAGTTGGCGAGGACGTTGTTCATGCAAACTGTGAACATTTTGAATCTGTATTTTGGAATATGGATCTTAAGTTGGTGTGACGTTGAAGTCGTGCGACCCTGCTGTACTCGGCTGTAGTTCGCATAACGTAACATAGCATAACGTTAGCATTTTGCTTCTGGTTTTATGATTCGAAAATTATAAAAGTAGGGTAGACATGTGGATATTATCCGGTTGAACAAAGCGTGCATTTATCAAACAGGTTAGTTTTCCACAGACCTTATTTCGAGCTATTTTCCAAAATCCTATGGAGAAATCCCATTGCTTTTTGTCGAGGGAACCCATGCGCAGCTTACTTCCGGGTAAATACGTCATCCCTGCACCTCTCTATATGAGCTGAATCTTAAAATAAGTGAAGCCATGAGAAGGAACACACATTTTGGAGCTGCAGGTCACGTCTCTCCCAAAGCCCCCCGCCTTCACAAATTGAAAATATCAGGGTTAAAATGGCTGGAGATGGCGAAAATGTGCAGAAAGTGTGCACTTAGGTACAAACAGAGAAGGACACTCACCACTATGAGGTTCCACATGCGAGCAGCCTCGGCCACCAGCGTGGAGACGCCGCTGCAGCCGGGCATCAGCACGATCTTGATGGGCTCGGTGTACAGAAGGTCATACAGCAACTTGGTGGCTTCTCCTGGGTCACACTGGAAGGACAAAGTGACAGAGTGTTAAATGAACAGACGGATGAACAGTTGGGATGGGCGGATCGATAAAAAAGGATGAGAAATTACAGGAGGTGATCGAAAGAGGGAGAGAGAAGGGGGGGGAGGGTCAGAGCGAGGGAAATAGGACAGATAAGAGTTAGAGAAACAGATGCAATGAGAGCAGAGGGTTTGGAGCAAATAAGGAATGGATTGTGGGGGGTGGGGGCGACTGTTAACAGAAAGAAGAAAATAGGGGAGAGTAGATAAAGTAAAGGGAAATGAAATAGAAGTAGCAGGAAGCGACTAAAAGGCCAATGCAAAGGTTCACAGAGTTCACGAGAGTCTACGTAGCCAGTATGTATAATGGAAACACAACAGGCTGCTCGCATGATCAAAACAGAAGAGGCAGGCTGGAGCCAGACAGAAGAGAGCCGAGGAGCACAACAGCAGCACATCACAAGTCATTACAAGCCTCCAATAAAGTCATTTACAGCGCGTCGAGGTGGGGAGAGTGCAGCTGGAATGATCCATCACAGCTCTGCCGGCCAGATTACCGACAGGCCGTCACCGCCGCACTGCTCATCAGAGTCACTGATAAACTGGCCTGACACATCTAATGATTCACCATGGAAGAGAAGATGTGGCTCGCAAACACAAACACGCACATGGTAAAAAAAATACACTCCAGATGAGTGTCACAAACAATCGGACCGCGGCCGATGATGGCGGCGACCAATATGGCTCCTAATTGGGGTGTTTGTCTGAGCGTCTGAATCGTCTCTGTGAGGCCGCCCTCTGCTCTTTGTGAAGAGGCAATCACCACTCTGGGACCAGGGAATGTGGGGAATAGCTGCCCTTCTTATTGATTGATGTGTTCTCCATTCATTCTAGATTGGTTAGGAGTGTCATGTCATCGCGGAGAAAAGTGAGGATGTTGTCATGCACATAGATTATTCAATCTGAACCCAATTAAAGGAGAGCTCTGACGGCTGACTTTATACCCTTACAGTCTCCATACGGATTTCTTTATTGGTCCGAATCCAACTGGGAAATTCGGCTCAAAGTACTTTTTATTTATAAGACCACATAAAGACCTTTAGGACATGTTTGTGTTAACTGTTCATGTCATCAGCGCGATCACTGTATACTATAGAAAAGGTCACAGCATTTGTAACAGCTCCTGCAGAGGCGCAGATTCAGCGGGAGCGAGGCCCCCTCCCCCCCCCCCACAGGGAGATGATACTGTGAGGGGACCATAGAAGGAGAAAAGAGAAAAGGGCATCGCAGAGTTTTAACTGTGAAGGAAACCTGCTTCCGTTCCTTTATTAATCTTTGACACTAAAGATTGGTGGAGTTCTCCCAGTAGAGTTATATAAAAGTGTGGAATTTAGCAACACCTTCTGCTGCCGTCTGCCCTAATTAATAACTTTTAAAAACAAGGACTTTGCAAACCATCCACCAATGCGGCTTTATAAATAATTCTTTGCCATCTTTTACATTTCCTGAAAGGACGTTTTGAAGCTTGCAGTTATTTGTGGCTACGTGTTATTTGATTAGAGCCAGATTCGGTGTAAAGGGGGGGGGTGAGGCCGGTAAAAATGTCCTTAAATGTCATTAAGTATTATAACCTCAAGCGCCACTTACTAGCTGACACCTGAGCAAGTATATTTGTCTTAAAAAAGCAGGGGATTAAGCATTGCTATTAAATAGTAAGACTCACGATGGATGGTTTTACAAAAAGATCAAAACCGAGCAGCAGAACCAGAGATATCTTTTATTAGAAGCATTCTTCTTTCTTGTCAAAACCTGGTGCCTACATTACCCACAATTCAACTCATCTAGTGACAGTTCAGTTGAGTTGCTGTGTTATGTTAGAATAGTAGCACCTCAAGCTTCAAGCTAAGATGAGGAGGGTGCAGCTCTTCACACCTTTAGATTTCAATTTGTAATATCAGAGGGGTTCCCTGAAAAGGACATTTAAAAGAACAGTGGACACACTTGAACCTTTTAGAAAAGAGCTTGAAGAACACCTCGAGTCAAAAATATGTTAGGTCCCAGTTGTGTATTTCCAAAATGAAGAATGAATCTCAACTCTTTGATGGCAGGTAATGGAGAAAACGGCAAAAACACTCCATTTGGTTAGTTAGACAGAAAATGACAAATAATTAGATGAGTAGAAGAATGTTCTGTGAATGTTTTTACACCTTTTTAAAGATTTATTTTGTTATCACTTTAATTAATGACCAAACAACTATTAACCTCTAACAGGAAACTAGTCCTATGTAGAACTTTAATGATCGGTAGTACTGTCAAAAGTTACATGAATGTGGTCAATAACAATATGTATCATTGATAAGGGTCTCAAAAATACTCCAGTGCCGTCAAGCAGACAAAAAAGCCCCCCAAATTCTGAGCTAGATCATTTGTTTTAACATAACACCAACCACATATTTGTCTAAACAATTACGTACATGAATTTCCTTATTTAACGACATCAAATTATCTTAATATCGTCCTAAGGGGTTTTGGAGTGCCTGTAAAATACTAATTCAGTGTGTCACCATGTGGGGCCGAGGGACTGCAGGTTCTCCTTCCGGCAATCAATCACTAGAGCAGCTGATTTCACAGATCCCTCCCTCCTCTCGGTACAATCAGCTGCTGCAATGTTTAAACCTGAAGCTTGTCGGTTGCCTGTTCCTAATAAAAACAAATTGCTGTGTTAACTAATCATGTGATGCATAAAGCTTCTTTTTTTCATTTTAAATACTGTCTTTCCCAGAGGTTGTTTAAGGATGAGGTTGTGTTCACTGACCCTGCGGCTGAGGGATGGCTGCATGCTGAGAAGAAGCTTGTTAGCCTTGTTTTGTTTTTTTACAAACTGTACCCTGATGAGCTGTAATTCATCATCTACGCTGATTATCTTTGAATTATTTAATCATATCTGTTATTACCATCCAACCTCACAGGTTTTAATAACAGAGTGCTTGCTTACATTTTCCAAATTACTAGCTGCGTATAACATGTTTAGAAATTAGAATTCAATTAGAAAAGCACTTGGAGATTGCAGACATTTGCCACGGCCATGCTCTACCTCACAGAGTTAACCAAAGTGAACAATAATTAGTGAATCCATCCCATGGTTTGCATCCACTCCAGAGTGTAATGGGTTTTTCTCTTGGCCCATGCGTCACTCATCCACAGTTTTATTATACCAGGCCAGTGTTATTTATGTAAGCATACTGACATACAGACCAACAAACAAACCCAATATGTAACCTCTCCAGTAAGGGTATTACATATGTGAAGATGCTGACCTCTTAAAGGTAAGTTAAGTACTTTCACCAAGAAAATGACCTTGTTGTTTGATTCATATTATTTTCTACATAGTATCAAAATTGGCAACCATGTATAATGCTTAAATATCGATACAGGCAGGTAGGGCTGTGCAATTAATCGTATTTTAATCGCAATCACGATTTTTTGCTAGGTTGTGACAGTGACAACATATTTGATCTAATTAATTTTGGTCTCATTTATTTGTATTTATCATATTTATATATGTTTAGTAGCTTGTGGAAGTGCGCTCCAAAATATTTGTTGATCTTGTTTATTGGTATTTATTATTTTGATATTATTTATTTAAATGTATCATTTATTTTATTTATTTTTGTATTGGTTTTTCAGTTGAATTATACGTTCAGGGTAATCAACAGTTAAAAAGATACTGTTCAAATTATTATTTGTATTTGTTTTAAAGTTCAATAAATGGATTTTTTCAAAGTCAATGAATAATCGTATTTAATAATCGTGATATCAATTATTGACCCAAATAATCGTGATTATGATTTTTGCCATAATCGCACAGCCCTACAGGCAGGTCAATTAGACAAACCGCAACTAGTGGATTAACATCCTTAGATCACCGTCAATATTCACATATTCAATAAATCTACTGTACGTTTGAACCTAAGGGATCAAATGTCCCTCAAATGCAAGATTATGAAAAAGGTATGAAAGACATACAAAAGCAACAACTTATACAGACTTTGTTGGTTTTAATTCAGTAGTTTGATCCCTCTCAGTGATAAATATCGAAGGCCTTTTCTTGGACACAACACAATCAGCGTCCAGGGAACACGGTGAAGTAAAGGATACAAAAGCTCACTGGCTCCCTTAAGAAAGAAAAAAAAGAGCAAACAGGCGTGTTGGCAGGTATGCCATAAAGGTTGAGAAATCTCTGCTATTCTTGGAGGTCTTCTACAGCCCCCTGGAGTCATCACCATTTTCACTTTCATTTTCTAGCCCTCCTTGGCTCATGAGAGTGCCTCGATTGATGGCCCCCGTTGTCATTCACACACACACACACACACACACACACACATACACACAGATTAGTGCAAGTGTGTGTACATGGTCATACAAAAAGCCCTCATACAGCTACACGTACACACACGCGTGATACAAAACCGCTTTTGTTGCTGTCCTCTGTGCTGAAATTCCCCGAGCCAATATCAGTGTTGATGTTAACATGCCTATGCAGCCTTTCCAATCACTAAAACCCTGTTTGCGAGAACCTTTGAAAGACAGTGAAGGTGCCCTGGGCTCGGGGAAGAGGGAGAAGACACTGGCTCGTCATGATACACTCTCTAATTACACTACAGATAGAATAATATAAAAGAGTGTGAAGAGGGGATAACATAGGGGCCTGGGGGACATCCTATGTATTGCGTCTCAAAGCATGCACAGCTACATCTCATAATTTCCTCATAATTACGACTGGCACCCGATTCCAGGCCTGTATGCCAGTGCATGACATGCATGAGGACCAGTGATGAATACTGGTTATGCCACAGTGGATAGGGAAACAGTGTCACGGCTGCCAATTAAAATAAAGGGCGGAAGTGAGGGAAGCACCTTGTTTCACCATTTCGCTGTATCTCCACTGTCTCACTCCATCACTGTTAATAATTGATCAAAGTTTGCAGTCTCGGCTTTGATATATCCATGGCAACGGCCTGCGCAGAGAGTGTGTGTCTGCAGAACTGTATGTGTGTGTATGCGTCTGTCCGTGTGTGTGTGTGTGTGTGTGTGTGTGTGGTGTGTGTGTGTGTGTGTGGTGTGTGTGTGTGTGTGTGTGTGTGTGTGTGTGTGTGTGTGTGTGTGTGTGTGTGTGGATCTCAGAAGGCTGTAAATAGTCTGATGCTGTCGCCAGAATAGCCAGAGAAACAAGCCGTTCTGCTACCACAGGGTATCTGCATCCATTAAAGGGACAGGCTGGGATTAAGCGTTGAGATTCATGAATATTGTATGATGTTGAACAAGCTGAGGACATCGCTTGATCCTCCAACCCTAAATGGTAAAGAACTGGTGTGGGAATGTGTGTTAAAGGCAAAAGGTTTGCCGAAAAACTATATCAAACTTGAATGCCTTTGTTGTATTTAATATTACTGATAGACTTTAAAGACGCAATAAAAGTTCCTCCTGCATAATTACGCTCCTCCAACCTTGATCTTGAGATGCAAGCAAACAAAGGGCCAGTTACGCCCTTGTCTTAATCTCACAGTCAAACAACGAGTGGGGCTCCCAAGGTGACCAACTCGAAAGGAGTGAGACGTATTAACTGCATGTAAATATCATAGCTAATTAATCCCTATTCTAATAATTGCTTTTCTGCCTCTCAGAGAGTAAGATCCTCATTACTATTCCAGCCAGGTGAAAAGCGTTTGCAATGAGAAGGTAAAAAAAAAAATCATTCCAAACACACTGTAGCCAGAGCAGGAGCAATAAATTCCCCCTTGACTTAATTCAAGGAATTAACCAGCGTCACTCTCACAATGTTATACCAGCCTCTTTGAGCTGTTCTATTCAAAGGATCTGCATCTATTTATCGAGCCGGAGGCGCCACTGACTCCTGAAGCGCGAGGAGTGATGTTTCCCAATCCCTATGAAATCTGTTCATGCCATTTCTTTATCTGTATGTTTATGGCAGCTATATCTGCAGCTGCCTGCTTCAGTACACTTGTAATCAGGACACACACATACACACACAGACACACATTTGATCTGTTTAGCATTTGATTGCAAGGAACAAGGTGTATGCAGAACAGAATGTGATAAAGCATGCACTGTATTATCAGCTCTGCATACATCCAGCATATGAATTTGCACACATATTTTCACAGAGCTGAAACCTTATTTGTTTCTGTGGTTTGCTTCAAGAGTAACTGTGTTGCCATGCCAACTCTCCCTTTCTCTCTCTCTCTCTCTCTCTCTCTCTCTCTCTCTCTCTCTCTCTCTCTCTCTCTCTCTCTCTCTCTTTCTATCACACACACACACGCACACACACACACACACACACACACACACACACACACACACACTCACATTTGCTCTCTCTCCCTGCTATTCTGTTTAACAGGATTCCAATGCAGAGCCTTGTACACCAATCAGAATAAAGCTGGTAGCAGATTTCTAACCAGTCCCAGTACAGTTAACTGTTTGGTGCCTCTGCCACCCTCCAGGCTCCTGTCCTGCAGCATGATTGATAATAACCCTCAAGAGGGGAGACAGGAGGGATCTCCAGTAATTGTTTTCATGCGTCTCCACTCATCCTGGTGTTGAGCAGAATGGTTTCTTTTTGGGGGGAAAACTTGCAGAATAAGAATGAGGACAGGCAGCTTCACTAAGATAAACAATGTGCTTTTTGATTAAAGTATATGTCAGTATATAGTGGGTGGTAATATGGGGCAGCGAGGGGAAATGAAACCAGTCAGGGGGCGGATATTGGATTTATGGCTGATAATGCTGACATTTTAAAATACCACCATGATTAATGATTGATGAGCAACAAGCAGGAGGTGTGTTTGTTCATTTAGCACTAAGCCAGCCCTGTACACGGCATGGCAGCCCCCCCTTTGTAAAGCCGAGGGGGGACTTGAGGGTTAGTGATCAGCAGGGTGACCTTTTTATGAGGCGTGTGGCGCAGTGGGTTAGTGCGTTGGTGTTCGGATCAGGGGAGCACAGGTTCAAACCCCACTGCAGTCAGCATGTCGTTGTGTCCCTGGGCAAGACACTTCACCCCAAATTGCTCCTGTGAGGGTTGCCCACAGTATTGAGTAAGTCGCTTAGGATAAAAGCGTCTAGCAAGTAACATGTAATGTAATGTAATGTTATGAAAGCTGCTCTTGAGATCTGTGACTTGGGAAAAGGTGTTCCTTGAAAAAAGAAAAAGGGAACCTGTCCTGTTGTTTTGGCAAAGTGGCATTTGAGAAAAACCAGGATGGAGAATATAATCATTTCAGATATCATGGTTTCAAAAGAAAGCATCAAAATGAAAATGTGATGAAAAATGATATCCAGCAGTACAAAGAAAGAGTAAGATGTAATGTGAGGGGCAGATGATTAGATCCCACTGGATGACACCACACATCACTTAAGTGCGCACCTCCTCTGACTCTCCTCCACATGCACTCACCATGCTGTCGTAGTGGATGAGCTCCAGTTCGTAGTCTGGCAGGATGTCGCTCCGGTTGTTCACCAGGTCCAGGGCCATCTGAGCGGAGGGCATACACGCCTGCCCGCCGGGCCAGCCTCCGCTCATGGGGAACAGCGCTCCGATATACAGCTTCTTCTTGCCTGCGGAGGGCCGTGGCCAGAGGAGGAGAAGGACGATGAGAGATGCCCGAAGGAGGAACACTGCCTGCCCGCGGGCTGTGCGAGTTACCCGCGGAGGACTTCTCCACATCACCGGCATGATTCAAGGTGAGATGAACCGGTGCTGCAGCGATACAACCGAGACAATCTTATTTCATGTGAGAACTAAAGTGTAAGTGAACTCAACACGTGTCCGGCACCTTTACGCAGAATTGAGTTGGGTTCAACGTTGAGTTTTGCAGATATGTGAGCCAACGATTTACTTTTAATTGCAAGTGTTTAGCGAAACGATTAATCTATAAAGTCGGCGTATGGTTCATTTTACATGGCATGCTGGATATTTTCGGGACAAAGTCAAACACAGTTCAGTCAGCCTTTACTAGCCACCATGTGAGGACACGCTACAGCCCGGCTCGAGACGCTCTTCGGTCAAGTTGTCAATCCTGCAGTCCAACTCATATCTATGCAATCCCACATATAAACTAACGTATCGATTTCTGCCTTTATTCAATCATGAATGTTGGACGGCGCATCCCTTCCTCACGAGTTTACGCGAAAAAAAGGACGCGCGGATTAGACGCTGGAGTCGTCGCGAACACGTCAACCGGGTCAAATGAGTGTTGATTTAGAGCAGTAGCTCGCACAAATAATGCATCAACTGGAGTGTGGAGGGAGAGCTGAAGCAGCGGGAATAGCAGGCAGCATCTCCCCCTTTTAACGCAGCCGTATTCCAACAGATGAGACGATATGCCGCGGAAAAGCAGGCGCGCCGAGCTCTGCGTCTGATCCACTGCAGCACCGGCAGGCTGACAGTGTGTGTGAGAGAGGGAGGTGAGAGAGAGAGAGAGCAAGAGTCTGAAATGGGTATGCTGAGAGAGAGAGAGAGAGAGAGAGAGAGAGAGAGAGAGGAGAGAGAGAGAGAGAGGAGAGAGAGAGAGGAGAGAGAGACGAGAGAGAGAGGAGAGACGAGAGAGAGAGAGAGAGAAGAGAGAGAGAGGAGAGAGAGAGAGATGAGAGAGAGAGGAGAGAGAGAGAGAGAGGAAGAGAGAGAGGGTGGTTGGGAGGGGGCTCTGGGCAAAATCTCCTCAAAGATGTTCTAATGAGTTACACGCTGCGCTTAACTTAAAACAGTTTTACCCATCCGAGTGCCACACAACCCCATTTTGTCACATTTCTTTCTTTGTATTTGGCATCTTATACTAGCACCACTTGCAGAGCCTATTCCTGCTCCATGCACCGGTTACATGAGGCTAAATAACAGTGACGTTACCTTGTTTTTAACCACTAATAAACAACCTGAGTTAGATTTGTTTTCTCCAAGTGAGCATCGATTTGTTCCTTTGCAGGTTAAGGTAGGATTTGGCAATATGGTGAAATCTAAACCACAGCATTGATGAATATTTTCTGATATTGATTAATACAAAGATGTGACAACTGTATAACATGTAATAGTCTAACTGATGTTGATGCATGTTCAACATCTTAATTTTGTGGGTTGGTAATGATATTTTTTTCAGGTATTTGGCCATATATCAAACTATTGGGAATATTTGTAATTTGACCTAAAGATGGCACTAGAAGAGAAGTTAAATAATCAACAAATCCATTCTTAAGGTAACATTAATGTGTGAGCATATATGCCATTGCAACCTATCCCAAAGTTGTAGAAACAAAGATTACAGGCTGCAACAATGACATTAAATGGTTAGACACTTCCTGCCTCCTAAGTGAGCACCGTTCCCTCCTCATCCCCCACCTCATTTGAAAATGTTGTCAATACAGATTCCCCTCTCAGGACCCCACGATCAAGTATAATCATTGAAATGCTGCTGAAACTAGTCACAGGTAACCTTCAGCCTGGTTCTACCATAGATAGCTACATGCTGTTTGACCTTCAAATCAATAACTTGCTTACTGGCCCGGCACACAGGAGCGCTGAGCAACTGCTCTGTAACCACCTCTGCTAATTCTTCTCTTCCTCCTCCTCCCCACCGCCAAGTCTATAAAATGCTACAGAAGCAGCTTTGAGAAATCAGCAAAAAATCGTGGCAGGCCGTATCAATCATGGCTGATTTTATTCCATTTCATTTCATTTCGGGAACCCATGATGGAGTTATTGTAGATTAGAGATGGAGTGGACTCCCTGCACACCTGTTCACACCCTCTGTTCGCACCCAGCACAGTCCCTATGTGTAACTCTGACACACAAAGTGATGCGACCGTGCGCTCACACCTTCTGACAAAAACAAGCACGCACATAGAGACAGGCACAGTGACATTTAAGCCTATAGTTAAAACGGACAGATCACAGTCCTTTTCTAGAATAAACTTGTTACACATAAAGGTTAACAGCTCATCTAAGAACAATACTTTCCTATTTCCAACACAGCAGGATTTGGATTATTGACTACTCTTTCATGCTTATGTTTCTGTAGTTCCTGTTTAAGCGCTTTAATTGCAATGTTATGTCAGTATTAAAGTTCCCGTTGAGAATTACTTATTGCAGAAATTGAGAAGAAGACCATTATTTCTCCACTCTAAATTAAAAATGCTCCGTAGTTAGGCAGTGGAATATGACTATTATATAACTCTGGTTCATTACCCAAATCTCATTATCTGGATATGTCCATGTAGAGAGCTATTCAGATACAGCAGCTAACAAGCCCTCACAGGCTGAGGTGAGTGTAGTGATCATCGCCTGGCATTTGCCTTCAACTTCCACCTCCTCATCCTCGCTGCCACCCTGTGACCCATCCAACGCACTATCAATTATTCAGCCGTGAACTTTCATGCTGTTTGCGCTCCATAATCCTACAGCCAACACATGCAAGACGCACCAGCATAGGGCAGTGCCGCGTTAATAACCCCCGTGGAGGCAAATGCCACATTCAGAGCACACATTAGCTGTGGCAGAGCCTGGAGAAGATGCATTAGCGCTGTAACATGTTGCTGAGGCGCTTTAACGAGGGCCTTGTGCTGTGTGTGTGTGTGTGTTTGTGTGTTTGTGAGTCTGCAGTTTGCACACTGGCCATTCTTCAGGATAATGGTCTGTTTTCCTAAGGGAAGATACAGTTGTACCATTTTAACACAATAACCAGATTATATTTTCCTCCAGCTGCAGAGCACGTGTTATTCATGAGAAATCCAAATTATTGTGAAAATACTCTGACAATACATATATTGTGTAAAATCAATCAGAACGTTTCAATTCCCAGGACGCTGCTATTTTGTATATGTAAGGTTTTTCCACACTGCTGACGGTACAAATCCATTTCCTTTGTGCACAGATGAGAGATTTTGGTCAAACAATATATCATAATATGTTCTATGTCTTGGTCTTACTCTGCTTTGTTTGTACCAGATGGGCAAAGGTGAAAACGTGGCTGTATTTACACATTGCAGGGCCAGCATTATGTGAGCATAATGTTGACCATCACGCTGTAAAAACAGTTCATCGAGCGGTAAAATGCTCCATCTCCGATGCGGTATCATCATTACGTCATTTGTTCAGGAGCAGCACACCACACATTACCTCCAACACTCTGCAGCACCTCCTTTATTAGAGTAATATATCGTGCCCGAGTATCAGGGTGGAGGGGAGTTAAGACTACGTTTATTGTTCGACGGTGAAAATACTCTGCTACTAGGGCATTGCTTCGTAGCAACATGTGGTAACCAAGAGTATTTTGTATTTATATAATACAGAAAAAGGGAATAGCTTTTGCTACACAACAGTATATTGTAACAGTAGTTGTCCCCTTCAAACATTAATTATCACCAGGCTTAAATTCCATCAGGAAATGATTGTGTAACATGTTTTAAATTCTCTGACTACATTTTTGGGGCAACTCCCAGCTCTACCAGCTCACGCTTATTAAAAGTTTGCCGGTTAAAAGTGTTCCCATCATACTGTACAGATAACTCTTATTCCAAGTTTGAAGCACCGCTTAAATCTCATCTTTTAAACGACTAGGGTTGCAAAACATTGTCTCATTTACAACAAATCCCATGAAAAGAAAAGTGATATCGCCGTCTGTGTTAAAATAGTCTGATATATCCCATCCCTCTGTGCCATACAGTTCCTTAGTTGTCAAAAAACTATTAAAAACACATCAATGAGCTTTTATCTGCTTTGATTACGATCAACAAAGGCAGTTTAGTTTATTTTGAGTCAGTCCCTGAGACACTGTCCTGCTGCTGTAAATACTCCCTAACGCACTAAATGTTTATTTTTGCATTATTCCAACAAATGCTGTTATTCCTGTTTTCATTTCACTCTATTATAATGTTTTACTTGGTCTGAGACATGTATATCCAGAAAAGGAGCTGGGTAACATATATCTCAAGAGGAAAACAGACCACCATCAGTAGTACTTTTTAGTTTTTTTTACTAAATAAAAAAATAGTAGATGGACATTATGAATGTATGTTCATTTTAATTCATTTCTTATTTTAAGGCTTTCATTTTATTAATCTCTAATCTGTGTGAATCTGTGCTGTCCTGTTTTTCATTCTCACCCTGTTGCTATTTAAACGACTCCATTTCCCCACGGGGGTTAATAAAGCTCCATCTTATCTTATTATTGGTTTTTGAAAGAAAGATTAAAAAAAAAAGACTATTTACAATAATGACACCCTTTTGATTGAATTCCTGTTAGAGCTCATGCATTTTTAAATATAACAAAAATACAGAGTAAACCCTACATCTAAATATATCTATACATGTTTATATACAAACAATAGTAAACATAGATTAAATGAGACTGTCAGCTTGTAATGTGGCTTTGTTGAAATTGACTGTGTACCTTCACTGGGGTTTTGTTTTACTGCACTCGGAGGAAACAGAAACCAAAGACGCAACCTACTGAATTTCCGTGCGCACACACACACACACACACACACACACACACACACACACACACACACACACCACACACACACAGACCCAGGGTAGAGCAGACAGAGACAGGAGCAGGGTATTAACCTTTCTCCCGCTGAGGAGGCAGTAAGTGGGTGGTGATGGCACATGGAGTGGAGAGAGGAAGAGAGAGAACAGAGCCAGGAGGAGGTCACCACTGAGACACTAGATAGAAATATCTATTTAAGGAAACACTGTTCTTTGCTGCTTTGTTAATTATGTGTTTGTCAAGTCTGTCCGTGACATTTGGAAACTTCTGGGATTACTTGCATGCAACTATATATCGAGTTTAGTGAGTGTGCATATTGTGCGTGTGCATTATCAGTGTCTGAGGTACAGGTCCATGCCTAATTCATTAGAGTAACTGTGCAGTGTTGTGATCCTCTCAAGGTTTGTAGCGAGTGTATGGCTCAATATCTGGTCAATTCCTAATGTGGTGCAGAAACTGTGCAAGAGGGAGAGCCATCCTGCAACAGTAGCACATGTATTCATCATCAGGGATCAGATACAGAGTCTGCACTGGTAGAAGTTGTTGACCCTTTCTCTTTCAAAGGGAAGGCTGGCTGAGCACATTTTCAGAAATAACCTGCTGCTAACTCTTATAGTTTTATCACAGCAACAGAACCTCAGGTATAATAGCACTGCATGTTCAAGTGAGCAGAATATTCAACACCTGATTATATGTATACCTGGATCGTTACAAACTCTCTGCCCACCCCTATCCTCTTTCAAAATCCCTTATTAGTCTTTTCAGAGGGCAGGCGCTGAGCGAAAACGATTAGAAACAAACCAATACCAATATTTGATTAAAACGTAGGAATGATAATTAACTTAAGACATAAGAGGGTTACTGTAGATGAGATGAGTTGAAAACTATAGCTCATTAATGATGCCTATGAGCAAATGAAATACTCTTAATCTTCTCCCTTGTGATTTGATTCATAAAAGAAGGATTTTCTCAATACTCAGGGGTGGAAACAGGTGATGAAGAAATGGTGGCAGCTAATATGTAAGTGTTCTAATACTAGATATGAAACTCATTTGTTTAACCGAGTTACCAACTTCAGTAATCATGTCTCTCAGAGCAGGTATTTCTTTTTAATTGGTTTATTGAAGAAGATTTCCTTTACCGGTTAAGTCAGATTTTTCCAGCTGGGTTTGAAGCTGCATTACAAAACAACCTCTTGTCGGTGTTTTAGGCTGCTGCTGCCCTCTTGTGCCGACAGTACACATTACATCTGCAGCATAAAATTGAAAGCCTCATGTGAAGCAAACTTAAAATAAATAAATGTTCTTTTGTGCATAGTTGCATTCAGAAAGATTAACATTAGCTAAACTGGTTTAAAACGTCTCCTTGAAGAACAAAAGACAGTCTAATGAGATCTGGGTGAGTCGTTTCATGTTCTATAATACTATCATCTAGCTTCGGAGAGAATAAAATAGTCTTTGTTTTGAAATGTAATGTTATACGAGGTTTACGTCGTACAAATGTTTCACGACAGCAACTCGATGTTTTCCGCGTCATTTGAGTGGATGTTGACTGGGTACTTGCTTGCCCAATATGTCACATTAAATACAAAAGGATACATTATTACCGATTGATTGAAGTGTAGTAGGATTTTGTTAGCATGCATTATAGCGTGATAAGGGAAATACAAATATCCATACCTGTGTAGTTTCTGTCATCTTTGGCCGGCAGAATAAGAAGGAAAAAGAAAGATTGGTTAAAAAACACGATGCATGTGGAAACAGAACAGTAAGCTAGGCAGAATACATCATTATGCTTCAGCATTGAATGGAAAGTCCTGGAGTTTAACAACTGAATAATTCACCTACATAATGTATCATTTGTAGATTTGGTGCAGTAAAACCTTGAAATTCATTCTATTTCCCTCCACTAGATGGCAGTGACACAACATCGTAGTTATGCTGAGAAATGCAGAGTTTTAGATGGTGCTGAGCAGTCATTTTCTGGCAGGAGCTTCCTAACTGTGGCAGTTATGTAACGCAATGATATTTTACAGGCACAGCATGAAAATAGACCTTTAAATCTCATATTTGTATACAGTGTAAGTACCGTAGAATATCTTACATAGAATAATTAAACAGAGTAAATTATAGGTAAAACATGAATGAAGAGCATTAACTTATACAATAAGTCGGCTACTTTCAGTCCGACTGTGCTGATAATTCCCTCTTTCATCCCTTTGAATACTTCCATTCCCATAGCAACTTTATTAGTTGCCATGCCAACCCCTCATAGGACCAGTTGGCGATCTGGTTTCTTTCAGTTCTTTGTTTCATCTATGTGTGTAATATTTTTTTTTTTTGCTTTGCTCTAATTTGGACAAATCTTTTCAGACGGGCCAACTGTTGTAAGAGAAGAACACTCTTTAGTGTCGATGAAATCACAAATATCTACTCACACACACACACACACACACACACACACACACACACACACACACACACACACACACACACACACACACACACACACACACACACACACACACACACACACTCTCTCTCATCTACAGTCATTGAGTATTTATCCATTTATATATAAAGTTTATTCCAGTTCTTATTCAATTTACTTCCCTGTGCCAACGGTACAAACTACCTTCTGTGGATTACGCTCTGATTGGTTGGATCATTTACTGCCTAGCAACCGTGTTCCACCGTTGGGAGAGCAGGTGTTTGTAATTATCTTTAAAGCCTCGTGTGCCCATTTTTTTTGTGAGGCAGCCACGTCCGTGTGATGAAATGGACTCATTCCTTTTTTTGAATACAGTGAAAATTACAGCCAATAAAAAAAAAAGTAAGGGATTGCAATGCATTTACTGGGGCTTTAAATCATGGTTATCATAGATTATTGATCAACTGCAAAATGTCAGACAATTGTAAAAAGGCGAATTATATTTAGCAGTTATGATCGATTGAATTGATTGTTTTATCTCATCAACTCAGAACATGAAGCTCAGCAGTATCATATATGAGCAATGTAGCTCTAAAAAAATATATATTCAAAACTTGAATAGGCTAAAAGTTTTAATGGGATGTTACTACACGGGAAACGTTTATTTCCAAATTGCTGGTAAAGCTCTCAAAGATGAAGAAGCAGCCTTAACCGTGTTTTCAATTGGTTTATGTTATAACTTCGACAGTATAGCTTTGTTAACAATAAAAGTGTATATTAAGAGAAAGTGATTGAAATGGGTTTAATCTTTGTCACAACGTTTTTCATTATAAAGGAAATCTTCATAATTGACAAATCGTATCTGTTTTAATAAAAAAGGAATTTGCCTTTTTTCGTAAGTAAAACTGAGTTAATGAAATGTTGTGTAGTGGTTTCCAGACATATTGGTGCGAGGTGACTCCATAGCCCTGGACCCCCTTTATTGTTTACCAGTGTAGAAAAAGGGGATATTTGATCATCTCGTCATACAACTAAACCGTCAGCGATCTTACTTCTACTAGTTGAAGTTTGAAAGTAAACTTTAAAAGCCGTTAATCCATCAGCTATACTTTCAGCTAACTATTTCAACTGCTAACGACATTATCACCATTTGGAATATAAAAGTACATCTTTGAGTTACATGACACATCTTGCACATTTCGCCGGTCATTTTTACACAAGTCCTACCAAGACTTCAATTCTTCTCTTATTTCAAATTCTACAAACCCTTTCAACAAAAAACTAAAAAACTAAATGCATATTGATACATTTAAGATTGATATAGTTGGTTGACTTTTCATTTGAATGTTTATTCTTTGTTTTAAGATACCTCATTTTAGATATAATTATAGACATCTACTATTTATGTTTTATTTGAAAACACTTTTTTATATACCTGAATCTTTAATTGTAGACGATTTCTTAATGTCTATCTATTTAAAGTGTACAATATATATTCAAAAAAAGTATCATATATGACAAAGAAAGAAAAATTTGAGGAGCAGGAACCAGAGAAGGATTGGCATTTGTTTTTTGCTTGAATAATTGACCGACATAATTGACCGATAATCAAAACAGTTGCAGATTACTTCTCTGTCTATTTTTAATGGAATGGTTTCAGCTTTTTCAAATAAAATTATATATTTTTTCTATACCTAAGTGGTTAAAAAATAAATCATTTGTTCTTATGACACAATTAATCACCTTCCCCCAATATGTTTTAAATAGATGTAGTCGCTATTCATTATTATGATGGATATAACTTAATTTATATGAGAAACATTTATACAAAGGTGGTCATTGTGGTATACATGTTTGCTGACTGTACTTCTTACTGGTTGCATTGATAATATAAGTATCATTAATTAAGTCTGTGTTGTCATTTCGCCTGCTGAGACAGTAAATGACATCCCAGCAGACAACATCATTTTCCTAATTCTGCTGTTTTTAAAAGTCTAAAATCTCATTTAGTCCCACTGGGTTTAGGAACTCACAGAGGCAGGTGGGTTTAGGCGCGTCCCACTTTCCCAGTTTAGTGCAATGGCTGATGTTTCTGCCCTCCAGGATGAAGCCGGCGTGGCAGCTGTAGTGGAGCACCGTGCCCTCCACCGGCGGCCCGGGGGGCTTCACCGTCACCCGGCCGTTCTCCAGGGAGGTCCACACCCGCGGGCACAGCAGCACTGAGAACCAGAAGCACCACAAAGAGAGAGAGGCACAGACACAGAGCGTTATACAGAGGTAGAATAACTGGGGGAAGGAGCTGCAGTTGCACTCATATTTATCAGAGGTAAACACACTTTGGATGGGGAATTAATGTTATTGGTTGTCAAAAATCTCAATGAGTTTAGCCCATAGAATGTATGTATGAGGTAAAGGAAGTCAAATAGCTAGTATAGGCTAACTTGATACATTATTGAAGCCATTTGGGACCAGCAGAACAAGCTGTAAACCCAACATTAACATATACGTACATTATGGTGAACATGTAGTTAGACACCAACCGAGCAGATATGAATTTAGACTCGTATTTTTCTGGATACCCGATAAAAGTCTGTTTTTTAGTCTCCCTTCTTCTCCTTCAGCTAAATGCTCCACATTGTTTGAGTATCAACAAGCTATTTTTAATGATTTGAAAAAAGAGAAAAACACTTGCCAATTGTCTGGGAGTTTAACAATGACTTGTGAGTTAAGTATTAAGATTACAAAATAATTCTGTTTAGAAGGTGGTAGTGCGCTGATCTTCGAATCACGGGGGCACTGGTTCGATTCCCGCTGCAGTCAACATTCTGCTGTGTCCTTGGACAAGACACTTCACCCCTAATTGTTCCTGTGGGGATTGCCCACAGTATTGAATGTATGTAAGTCGCTTTGGATCAAAGTGTCTAACAAGTGACATGTAATGTAGAAACAGGCTATGAATCAAATCATTTCCTATATTTACTGAATCAAAAATGATAACGGTCCACACTTTATTCCTCTGATCCATTACGTTTGAATAAAACAGACAGCATCCAATCAAGTTGCAGGAGAGAATCACAAGGAAGTAATGTTGAATACTGGACAGTTGGAAAAAATTAAACCAAAGATTATTTGGTTCATATACGAAAAATAAATACAATAATAATATACAAGTAAAAAAAATAGACTAAATTGGTAAATATTCTTTTTAAGGACTCGAATTTCATATTTTAGATGCCTTTTCTTCTAGTCTTCATGTTTCTCGATTGTTCTACTATTAAATGCGCTTACTTTGCTAACTATGTTATGTACCAATAGACCAGAATAAATTAGAGTATTGTATGTCGAAGCCTACTGGGCAGTCAACCAGATTCTGATTATCAATATGATTCGAAAGCAAGAGGTCAACAAAAGAGATGAAGAGTTATTTATAAACTGTGTAAGAATTATGAATTATGAATAAGATAAAAGCTTTCTCTGAAATGTGAACAAGCAATTGGTAAAACACAAATAAGCGATTAGGTGCTTGACCTCTGACAAATGATTGCAAACCAGACACAATGTAAAACGTCGTTAACGCCCTGTGAACATTCTCCTTGTTCTTAGTTACCAGTAGGAAACATTGTGCCACACATAAGCCTGAGTGTGTAAACTTGCTATGTTACAGCCTCCATTTCTCTAAGTTTGGGTTTTCTGACAAAACGGCTAAGCTCTTGAATATCATTTGTTTAGCTGCTGAGTTGTTGAATCTTCCTTCCAGCATGCAAACACATAATAAAACTCCAATCTGCACATTGCAGCTTGAGCTCTTACATAAGCCAGAGAAAACCAAAATCCTGCTTTAGAGAATATTCTCTCGGGAAAAATAAGTTCCACTGATGTTAAATGTGAACTGAAAGAACAAAAACAGGAGATAGAACAGGGATTTGATTGGATATCTGGCCTTATTCTCAGTATTTGCACAGGCGGTGTAGATATGATCTGATTAGAAATTACATTTCAGCTTCGCTATTCAAGAAAATACTGGCTTGCAGGCAAAGTTTGCAGCTAAAACACACATTTAATCTTTGTAAAAGCAGTTAAACCGCTTCAACACTAGAATAAGTGTATAGCTAATGGACTTGCGTATCATACACACAGATACAAAGTAACACATGTTGAAGCTAAGCAAGCTAGCTCTTTTCTTCTTTAACCATAACCCAAGTAAGCACTTCTAGTCAATACGCAGCAAGCATCAGCCCAAACTATTCTCTACGGGGGTTTCAAAGATCAATTCACATTAGCATGACTTTCTTTATATAGCCCTTCATTAGGCACACATACCTTAGAGTACAACATCTGAAAAAGCCAATCAGCACTCAGCAGGAAAACTCAGCAAAATAACAAACCTTTATAGATCAGAATTAAACAACACAAAGCATGTTTACAAGCTGTGGTTTGGGGGCATGTCCCCTTAACAGCAGAAGACCAATTTCACTGAAAAAATGTGTTATTATTCAAACAAAATGTGTGACAACATAATCCCACCCAGTTCAAAACTGTTTGTTGGGGTGCAAATGTGAACAGTCTATTTGATCTCTATTTGTCCAATCACGGACTCCTAGTCGATGATGTGACCGGTTTGTGTCTGGTTATCAGAGATAACTGTCTGCTATCATTTTTAATTCCATATATTATTGCAATATCCAAAATATTGTTACCAGGTCAGGAATATAGTTCAACTTCATACAAAGAAATATGGCGGTCTTTTACAATTATCTACGACTTACCATCTTCTGCATTATAAGATTTGTTTGTATTGATCAGATAGCTTAATAATGACACCAACCATTTAAACGTTTAATTATCTATATTTTTAACAATGCATTAAAAAGACATTGTGTAAGTAATGAACCTAGAGAGAATGATCCCCTGAATCTGCCGCTCTCCTTTGGCTTTACAAAGCTTAATGGCGAGTTTCAGCTAATTGTTTAGCTGCCAAGCGGCAACTTTAATGTTTAGGTACATTGGAGACCAACTTGGGAACAAAGTGGAGCATTTAGCAGCTAAAGTGCCAGATTTTCCCTCAGGAGTTCAAATGGAGACCAAAAGAGAGAGAGAGTGTGTGGACACAAACATGACCCAAAATGAATGCTAATGTTGCTCTCTAACTGCTGGATGTGAAATAATCAACTGTTTGCAAACAAGTTCCCTCTATCTAGCTAAAAGGTGATATATGTCAGTATTGTGTCTTAAAGAAACAACATGTAAAAGCTGCGGTTGATTTCATGTAAGCTTCTTCCAAGACTGCATTACTTTATTTTACTGCAGTTAAAAATGACACCAGTCCCAGATAAGGTTGCACACTATTTTATACTTTCCTCTTTGATCAGGGGAGAATTGTCTTTGATCATGTGCAGATGAGGAAAGGTGAAGGTTGTGGTAAAAAGGATGTGAGAATCAGACAAAAAAGGACTCACAACATGTGCTGTGCAGCGTCAAGTCCGTCCATGTGCCGTTGGGTAAGCACTTCCTGACCTTAGGTCCCACAATCACCCTGTTTCCTCTGCAGATGTACTCTATCTCATAATCCACAGGGAGGATCTGCACACTGCGGATCTGTAAGAGAAACAAACAGAGAGAGAGAGAGAGAGAGCGAGAGAGAGAGAGAGAGAGAGAGAGAGAGAGAGAGAGAGAGAGAGAGAGAGAGAGATGGGGAGGAGAGACAGAAATTAAAGCATGATTGATGCTCTCTCACACCAGTTTTCCCTTATCCACTCAGGGTCCCACTACAGTCCTTCTCAATGCAGTATGATCTAGTGCCATGTGGCTGTGACAATAAAGTTTTACTAGATGGAACATTTGATGGCCATATTGTGTGAATCGTTGGGCTGTCAAACTCTGAAATACAGCTTCTCTCTGATTGGGGAAGGAGGGGACATAAGCCGTTTGAACAGCGTTATGTTAACACTTCATATGCATTCACTGTGCATATGCTTAGAGTGCTGCAAACAGAAACAGCTCAGTTTGACATGGTTTGTTCCTTCTTACATTTTAAAACTTCACCAGTCTCTTTTATAATTAGATATGTTGCTGCATTATAGAATAAATTAGAATTATGTGAGCTTTAAAGTCCCTCTTCACTCAAAAGTGTATAGTTTCTTCACCTGGATGTCTGACACACGTTTTGTTGGACGGAGTCAGGTCAGCTGTTTCTATCTGCTGTGATCTTTCTATAGTTCAAGATAGCTAAGCTAAGCAACATTTTTAGAGCAGACAATCCTTTCATGTCAGCAAGAAAGCCAAAAGGGTAGGCTATGTGTCAAAAAGTTCAACTCTTCTTTTAATAAAGTAATGCAACTTACTTATAACTGATAGTGTAATAATAATTCCAGCTGATGTTTTGACAACGCAAGATAGCTACTATTCTTCATGGCCGTTATCATTAGGCAATGTTATGATATCATTCAACCCAGTCTCACGGCATTTCGTGTTATAGTCACGAAATTAATTTAATCTATTGAACGATCACCGAACACTGAACGATTTTAAACGAATGTATTTCTATTGGTAGCATGTTTCGTGCCTGCACCACGTCTCTTTGTCCGGTCGGGTCTTGGAAGACCGGAAGCTGTGTAGTTCATAAAAACATTTTCTTCCTCAATATCTTACCCTAAGCCTAACCCTATCCCTTTTATTTTAAATTGTATAATGTCGGAGTTTTTTTGCCGTCCGCGAGGGAAAGAAATGGGGCTCAGAGCCTCAGAATACTGGAATCTGTATTTTTTGTCATCTTTTTTTTCCTTCTAATTTGTTATTATTTGGTGCAGGCACGAAACATATACTACCAATAGAAATACATTGCTTCTAAAATCGTTCTGTGTCAGAATACTGAAATCTGTATTTTTTTTTATCTGTTTTTCCTTCTAATTTGTTATTATTTACATTGCTTTTTGAAATCGTTCTGTGTGACACGAAAAAAATGGCGAAATCAATAGATTAATTTCGTGACTATAACACAAAATGCCGTGAGAGTGTGTTGTATCATTAGCTAAAGTTGGCCTAACCCTCGTCAATTGGAGTAGCCTAATAATCCACAGCACTTTTGTATCAAAGCTTATTTAGGTAACATTTTGCAAGCTAGCAAGGGTTAGCGAGATTTGTAAAACCATCCACCTGAGGCCTGTACTACGAAGCCGGATTTTCGCTTAGCCGGCTGACTTCAGGGAAAACTCAGGCTTTCCGGTCCTACGACGCTGGTTCTCTTTTTAGCGGGCTAGATCTCCATGGTAACTTATGCTGAGCAGCTAACCTCCTCGGGAGGAGGTTAGGTTGCAGGCTAAGAGATCAACTCAGTGAAAGCACCGCCTGCTGACCAATCAGAGCTCCGTGTGCGGAGTTTAAAGCTATCAAGTCATATTACAGGATAGAGGAAATACAGAAAAACTGCCGTTGCAGGAAAGACGGCCGGCAAAAATCAACTGACTGTGTGAACGTGAAAATTAATAGAATATCCCCTCTCATCTTCAGAGCAATCTGACTATTATAACATTAGCGTTAAGAAAGCTTACTTAAATATCTGCCACAACATAAGTAACCGGATCAGAGTAACATTAAGTACAGTCCGCGGCACTGTGAGTGCAGACGTCGATGTGTCCCATTATCATTCATATCATATCACATCATAATGTATCATATATTTCCTTATCTGAGTCAGCTTCTTGAGCCGTATCTGGCCGTGCAACACTCACAGTTTCACATAATGTATGCAGAAGTATTATTTTAAGCAACACATTAAGTTGACGAAACACTCGAGTCAAATGTAATTAAAGTCAGATCCACTCGTGTCTTGGACGGGGCAGTGATTTCATAAACCTGTTAATGTACGCATTCAAACGCTTTTTCTTTTACCAGCTGTATTCACCTTGCAGGTGCAGCTATGTGGCTTTTATCCTGGATAAAGTGTTTAAGTCATGGATGTTTAAAGTTTAACTTCTTCATATTTGACTAATATTAAAGTTCACTTTTCATTCAGGAAGTATGACGCTGCGCTGTCAGTACGCTTGTCCGTGTTTGAGATTGGTCGAATGCTCCAAATACCACCCCTTTCATGTGAACGCGCACCTAACTAGATAGGACACGGCTGGCTTGAGCGATCCACTTGATAACCAGCGTCGTAGTACAGTTTAGCCAGAGCGCGTATGTTTTGGATTGGGCCAACCGGCTAACTCCAACATATCCAGGTTAGGAAAATCCGGCTTCGTAGTACAGGCCTCTGAGGAACGCAACCTAATGTTTACTTTACAACCGTTTTCACATGAGGGTAGCAAACAGCATTAGCCCCAAAAGTCGCTAATTGTACCGAGAAAGTCGCTAAATTGCCAAAACTGGCAGCCATTTTCTGCCTCCAAAATTACACCTCAAAAAGTATCAACATGAATGTAAACATATTTATATGTAAACAACAAACATGGCTATTGTTAGCATTTACAGCTGTCAAGCTAGCAGCTCCGGTGATGCGCATTGAGTGCACGAGCAGTGTGTGTGTGTACTATGCAGACAGGTAGTTTGACAGACAGGTAGTTCGTCCAATCATTTCATTTTGACAGCATAAAATGATTGGAAGGACTCATTAGGGTCATGCAATAGTCCAAAAATATAGTTTTTTGTTGTTTGGGTTTTTTGTCAGAGCATTTGACATATTCATTGCTGCCAGGAGTATTTCAACAAATGTAACCCACACATTATCCACCCTCTATTTCCTAAGGCTGTCATAATGGTTTTAATATGGAAAGAAATGACATTACAGGAAGCAGATACAGTTTCACCTGCTTTATATTTCCAATTTTATGTTTTATTATATTGAAAATTGTCCGGTAAACTGGTTTTAACGTCCTTGATTTGACAGGTAAAGTTGTGTCATCCAGACCCAGAGCTGTATTTTCTGTACCTGTTCCTGTGTCAGGCCTCTGTAGCGGATCCCCCCATCTCTGGGAGGCCGGATGATAGCACAGCCTGAATGGAAAAAGAGCAGAGGAAGAAGAATGAAGGACAAAAAGAGCAGAGGGGAAAAGCTTTGTCTGCAGATAATGTAGATATATTACAGCAACATGACATATTGTCAATTTAACTGATGCTTTCCTCGCTGCACAAATTACAGCGCTTCATTCAGGTCACTTAGCAATCTCTGCAGAGTTACTTATGTCCATTAAGGCTTATTATAACCAACCAGACATAGATTCCAGCACATATTCAGTCACAAACACACACAAATTACCTCCAGTTGATGAATTATGTATGGGCACAACGAAAGATGGAAGAGCATAGAGAATAACCACAAACAATAGGCGTGCCATCTCTGGATCTGAAAGAGAAAGAAGACAGAGGTAAATGTAGAGAACTGTGACTGGAAAATTGAGGAAACAAGATGCAACGAGAAAAACGTTACTGAGAAAATATTCTTGCAGAATCAAATCTACAGTCTCAGTTCTCAGATACAGTCATTTCCAGTCCACTGCTGTCTGTCCTTCTAAAACGAGATGCATCAACTTTTTGGCAAAACACTCCCTCTTCATCCTGCCTGACTGCACACAAAGGATGAGCTGCAAGATGAGTCCACTTTTCTCCCCCTGCTTCTGTTTGTATTTACCTTGCAGACAGCCCAGGTACAGTTGATAGCCAGATTGGCTTCCTTTCAAAAATCCCTGCGTGCAAAGTTTCAACTCAGGTTTGGATGGCTGATATTAACATTTTTGCAAAACGGCTGACGAGAGAAACATTTCACGCAAGGGCTGACACAATACATTTGAGATTTGTCTTCATTTCAAGGTAATAATGTATCCTCCAAAGGCTTCTCCATAGCAAGACAGAAAGTATTTATTTTTATTTTGACAGATGTTAATGGCACAATGACCCACCACACATACTCACGGGCCTGGAAACTCTCTGAGAATTTTCCATCGATTTAGCCTTGCACTAACACTGTGAGAACTACAAAAGAAGGTTGACGCAGCGGAAGCAGAGATGTCGTATTTATAATTCAATGCATTCTATTTTCTTGTAAAAACATTACCCACAGTGCAACTTGACCGTTGACATCACTTGAGGCGATTTAACAGACTTCACACAGCTCCCTCTGGAGCCGTGAAAGGCTTTACACAACTTTGTTTTCACATATGCAGTTGTACTCCCCAAGATCTCTAAACAGACTTTGAAGTGTAAGATCGGAGGAGTTCCCATGAATTAACAATTAATTCAATAAATAATATCTGCTATATTAACAAATAACAAATAAAAGATAAGGTCCCAATGTTTTAGGCAAACTATCACAATTATTCAACCCTATTTAATGTGCAAACAATCAGTTTGCTTTACAAGGATGGAGAAATGACACTTGCCACTTGGCTGCCACACTAACGTGCAGATTTTGTAAGTACTGAAAGTGTGATATGATAACCAGAAAAAAGACAAAAGACCCATGAGTCCCGTGAGCCACAGCGCCTCAGTGCTCGCACAAACACAACTGAATGTATCAATGATAAACACACTATATATAGCTGCTCATTTGCAGTTTTGAATAATAAATGCTGCTTCATGAGGCTGTCACAGATGCACCAACATAAACACATCCATACACTTAATAAGACAGTAAGGGGGTGGAGAGTGTGTGTGTGTGTGTGATAAAGTGGGAAGGTGGGTAAGGGGGCATAACAAAGCAAAGCACCACAGTGAGGGAGACAGATGGCAGCGAGGCTTGCTTGTGGAAGACAGACAAACTCTGCTGGATCCTTCATTAGCATTATCCAGTGTATTTTTAGAGTTCACTGAGTAGAGAGTGTCTCATGTGTGTGTTGGTGTGTGCATAGGGGGGGGGGGGGGGGGGTGTTGGCAGCGTACAGTACGTGCGTTTGTCCTGTAAGGGATGGAGGGGAGGGGGAGGTAGGAGAGAGAAAAAAGGGGTGAGAAAGAAGGACAGCCCAGCAGGAGTCATTAATATCAGCGATCACACACTGAGCCGGATAAAAGCAAACTAGGAGAGTGAGTGTATCGGGCTGAAGCAGCCTATCCCCCATAAAGCCAGCTAACTCCATCAGCACTGTGAGCAGACAGGGGGAAGGGGGGCAGTCGACTAGCCTCAAGCTTTAAATGCAATTAAGGCTTCAGCACCACGGACAGCGCCTTCTCTGCTCGGAGCACAGAGAACAACATCTTGTTATAAAAAGCACCCACAGCCCATCCACCGCTAATGGTGCACACTTCCTTGTGTGTCTTTAATTCCGGAAGCTGCAATGGAAAGGGATGATCCGGACCACTGACAGCTTCATGTACAGACGCTTGTAGGCTAATATTTTCAATTTCTATGCAGGGCCACACGGGGACCAGTGACACGCACATACAGTAGACTCATATGCTGTATTTTGTGCATGGCTGAGCATGAACTAGGCCTACTGAGACGTGAGGGTCACAGTAAGAGTGCCACCAACCGTATGCTGCCGGTAGTTACTTGTCGGCTGTTGACAAGGGAATCCGTGATGGCCTGTAGAGCAAGGCCGACCATATTAACAAACCCGTACAGTGCTTAAATCTCAAAAGTAGCGTCCCGAATCACATATCACCTCATTATACCGACTGTATGCCGTTTGAAAGGGGGCAGAATCTCACCATGTTAACGTCTCTTTATATAGCATTAATGCAGAGAGGATATTGCAAGAAGGAACTCAAAACAAATCTGGCCTGTGCCCATCGAAAATGAATGGCCTTTGCATACAAAATCAACAACCAATGGGGCATCTATATAGATTATCTGCATGGGAAATGGAGCATTTTCTGAATAAATGGAGTCTAGTATTGCGACTTACAGTAATAGTAGCCCGTAGCCCCGTAAAGCAAAGCTGTAGCATGTGTACTTACTATTAGTTCCGATGCGCTCCGTCAATATAACAGTAGGCTACGTCCTCCGAGGTGGATCCACCAGGAAATGCCCAACGTCGGATTATTTGGTAAAAATATGCATCTTTACAACGATTTTATGGCTATAATAGTATGGCTATCAATGTGCAAGCTGCTCCGCTCGTAAACAGAATGTTACAAAAACAAGACGTATCTTATTCGAATTATTTCTATGTATTGCAGTTACGCATGGCAAAGGTAAGAAATGACAAAAATCCATACAAAAATTATACATGCACTATATACAAACGCAGCCCCATAAACGACGAAACACCGATTCACCACACTCCCCTCCTTTTTTCTCTCTCTCCCCTTACAATCTTGAGCTAACTCACGACGTCATGATGGAGACGCACCGTGCGTAACAGCCCCTCTCACGCATTTATCAGATATTCCCCCCTCCCTCCTTCCCAAGATGACAAGCGCTAGGATCTGGGCCCACGACTGTAATATGAATCTTACGATCAGGCTTGGGATTTACGATAAGCTTGTGGATTTATCCCACCGTTAATAATGATATCACTGCATGACTAGACACGGATGGAGGTGCATATATGACGCTGTGGTGTTATCAGTGACTACATTGTTAAGCATCTCTCTAAAGCCCTTAGGAGTTAAGTCAACGAAGCGACAATCAGTCCTTTCTACAACACTGGTCATCGATTAAATCAAAGCCCATCGCCTGCTTCATCTTCCCCTTTTGTCTCTCCCACCATCCTCTGCTGCCATCTATTCTGAGATCCTGCTTCATATTTATGTTGCTGATGAATAATTGAAGGAAGGTTGGGGAAGACACAACCTCTCCCTCTGTCTCTCACCATCCTTCTTCCTGCATCTGTAAAACAGGAATTCACATCCGAACCTGCCTCTTGACATACAATTCTACTAAAGTTCCTACAAGAAATCCAATAATATGAAAATACAGGAATACAAAAGCCCCAATAAGTATGATCTGATTTATTGATTATAGATAGGACAATGCACTAATTGGAAAGTGACATTCTGACTAATTCACAAATGCCATTAAAAGGATGAAGACTAATTGTTAAGACAGGAGTGAAGGTGAGGTGTTTCAGATAAACTGCGACAATAATGATTTAAATACACATGACAAACTGTGAGTATCCCGAACATATGTACAACAAACTTGTCAAACATTCAAATCATTTAGCACATGTAACTGTACATGTCAATATTTTCCAGCTTTGTAATAATTACATACATAATATACAAGTCATTCCTTGACTTCATCGTTTTGCATCGCACACTTTGACAATCAAAGTACAATATCATGAAAGAAAATAAAGAAATCAAAACGTAAATCATAGCTCTCCAACTCTTGGAAAGGTCACTAAGGAGACCTGGATTGTTAAAATGTTCTAAAAATCATAAAAAGGGCAAACTATAAATATTTCTAAGCAGATGAGATTACAACGAAGTGCTACTCATGCTAAATGTGTTACTTTTTTTGTGTCAAGGCACACTTCAAATTACAAGGGGAAACATTTTGTTTAAAGGCAAAGAAAAGAGGAAATGCATTTGCTGCAAATGAAATCCACTTATTAAAATGTAAACAATACATGTTTGGAAAAGGCTCTTGCACCTGTAAAAGACTGCAGCATAACGACATAAAAAAAGAAAACATGGCTCCAGCTTCATCATCTTAGTTTCAATGGTGTCAGTTTTTGTTTCAGCATATAGCCCTGAATACATTTCATAAATGCCTGTTTATAGCTCACTAGGAGTGCATGCTTTCGGAGTGGAAAACTGTCAAGACTCCATTCATTAAACATTTCAGGAATTTTCAAAAAACGCATTCTCTCGTGCCAATAATAACAAAGCAATTCTTGCAGCATGTTACTGGAAATAAATATGTGAAATGTGAATTCAAACGTGCTTTCACTCCGCACTGACAGAATCGTTTTTGTCATTTTTCCTTGCACACTGACTTGATGAGTGTGAATACGAGTCTGGGTCTCCGTGTGTGAAGAGACCCTGCAAACACTCTACCTTGAAGCAATGGCTGATAAGACCTGACAGGACTGGAAGGAGAACAAACGCAGGGTTTTGTTTACACTAGTCTCACCAAATTAGATCAACGATTAGCCTGGGCAATAAGAAATGAGGGTTTTTGAAACAAGTCAGCTAAACCCAGGCTTTCGATCACTATTAGCTGTTCCTTCATGCACAAGGAAGACATTCTACCCAGAATTCTTCAGAGGGATGAATAAACGGTATACATGTCCTGGAGGGTTGAAAGCTCTTTAGATTCTGTTAGTGTTCTAACTAGGCTGCAATATTAACTATTGATCAGTGTCAGCTTTAGAATGAAGTGTTGTCAGTCATTTCATGTGTGCTAATTTACACGTATCATTTTATACCCCTGGAGCTGCATCACTCCAGTGTTACATTTGCAGCTGAGTTACTGTCTTTTTACTTTGGTTGGTACCTATGTGTTAGGGATGTTTACCATTACCCTACATTTTAAGCTGTTTCATATCTATGGCAGCCTCACAAACTGAAGCTTCGGTGGTGCTGCTTGTAGAACTGCTGCTGGCGCTCTTTAGCGGCGCTCTCCACCATCTTGTCTCTTCTATCCATCACTCCGCCTCTCTCTTTCTCCCCCTCATCCCCAGTTACGCTCCCTACATCACTGAGGTCCCCGAGGTGCTCAATGGAGTCATATTTCTCCAAGTCGGAAGCGATGGTCTGCAGGCTGAAGACTGAAAGTGAATCCGACCCCGCCCGTTCCCTCTCCTTCTCAATCTCCTTCTCCTTGTATTTCTCCAGGTCGATGGCTGCATCCACCCGACAGGCCCCCGTCGCAGCACTGCTGCAGGCGCCACCTTCTATCTTCACTCTGATGTCGGACTCGGCTCCCACGGGGGGACTACGCCCAGCGCAGACAGTGGTGCGTCCTCCCACTGCCTGGTCCCGCCCCCTCTGAGCGTGGATCTGCTCGCTGATTTTTTCCAAGTTTCGCAGGGCGATGGAGTAGCGGGACTTCACTTTAGCTACGTGCTGTTCAAGCTGCAGCACTTTGGCCTTATTCTCCTGGAGTCACACAGAGGGCACAGAAACTTTCATCATCAATTTCAACATTGATTTTATGCCACAACCTACCGGTGACCTCTACCAAATCCATAACGTACAGAATGTAAAACAACCCTTTTTGCCAACACAGCAGTACATTTACAACACAGCAGCTTAACAATGGACTCATTATTATTGTGACTTGCAGGAAGAGAACACAGAACATATTGTATGTCTGCATTACCTCCAGAATGTGGTTGAACTGGGCCTTGAGCTCAAAGTAAGGTTTGGATTTCACAATGACTCTTTTGAGGGACTTTTGCAGCATCTGAACCCGAGCCTCGGCCTCCTGACAGGCGTGTGTGACGCGCATGTGTTCCCTCTCACTGCGGAGTCGCTCCTCCTCCGCTTCGTTCACCTGGGAGAGACACGCAGGAGAAAGATGTTAACACACACATGTCAAGGCCAGACCCCTTTCAAACTTTAATTCAAGTTTCAAGGCTTTTATTGTCATGTGTGCATAGCTACAGTGTAGTTATGACAATCTTAGGTCCCAGGCTCCTCCAACAGTGCAACACAATAAGACAGATAAAATAGTGCAAGTAAATAAAATAAAATAAAATATAATAGAAACTGTGCAGAATGATATATGTGAGTTGCAAACAGATGAATGTTATGTATGTTCTTTCAAAAGTTCACGTGTTTAACATTGTCTCAACTGAAGTTTTATCCTCATTTAACTATCCACCCTGACGGTTTTAAAGGAATTCAATGCTAATTGATGGGTATTCTCTTAACAACACTATTCTTCTTCAAGTAAGACTTAAAAAACACAAATAAACAACAAGGTATTGACTCACTGATTAAGCCTCTTTGTTCACTATCCATCATTATTTAGACTTTTTTTTTCTCCATGGTATTCCTGGTGAATGTTTTATCTTGCTTTAAAACATGTAGCATCTCATTTGAGTCACCACAACCAAACATACACTCAACTGAGGTCTGGTGTGATTGTGTTAAAGCATGTGTACGTCCTCCGGTTTGTTACCTTGGAGGTAGCGTGGTTCAGCATCTCCTGCCAGGTGGGATCCAGAGTGTTCTTGCCATCAGCCATCAAGCCCTGCTCTGCCACATAGACCATCTCCCTGGCAGCTGTGTGCATAGAGACCGCTCTCTCGTAGCTCAAAGCTGCCTTCTGGGTCTCCTGCTGTGCCTACAGAGAGCAGACAAAACTTTTATAGCCTACAGAAGGAGAATAATGACAAGGACACAGTCAGGAGTTCTGTTGAGTCCAATTACAATCAGATCTCTGTCAAGCTGTCTTTGTAAATAGTAGAATTCAATTTCACTCTTTAAGTCGACAGGATGTCGAAATAGGTAGGCAAGGGAATAAATATGTTGCCTATTCTTTAAAAAAGCATTTATTTTACTCTTACAAAACTCCATAAGTGAAATCTCACGCAGCTCATGTTTCTGTAGGAGCAAAACAAGTATCTGGTGTCCACATTGTGTTGAATTAGATCCAGTAAAGCTGGCGAATCACACCTTGCACTGTAATGACGCTCATATGCAGATTGAATGCCCAGTTGTGATCAGACCCCTCTTTCCTGTTCACATTTGCTTTAAGATGTTGAACACTGTTATCGCTGCCATATAGATAAAATGTGACCTTTTCTATGTTATCCAGCATGACTAAAATAAATAATAATAATACATGGGATTTTTATAGCGCTTTTCCTAATGCTCAAAGACGCTTTTCATAAAATCAGAATAGAAACAGAAACTGGAGCTAATGGACCTGGTGTCGGGGATTTGTAAGGTTATACTGTAGAAAACTGAAAAGCAATCAGAAATACATTTGCCGTAACACTATACTACGCATGTGGACTAATGTGCCCCTGACCACTTCCAGATGAACAGCAACTAAATCCCAATTTCTCTATACCATTGGATCTGATGGGGACAGAGTGCCTTGTCTAAGGCCACACTTCAGGTGGCCTTGCTTACACGGAGGTTAGAACTTAAGGTAAACAACAGCATGTTCAGGCACAATATTCTTTTTTAGTTATGTCAACTTTTGCATCTCAATAAAGGACACTTCGTTTCAGAGGATTTCTTTAAAGGTCCCCTACTATACTGTTTTTCATCAATATATTATAGGTCTCAGATATATACAAAACATGTCTCTGAAGTGTTTGGCTCAAAATACCAAACCGATCACCCATTGCAGCATCCCATAATCCCCTCTGTTTAAGCCCTGTTTCAAAAGTGCTGATTCACTGTCTTTTACTTTAGATGAAAATAAGGAGCCACTCCCCACGCCCCTCTGAGAGATATTTGGTTAAAAAGAACACAATAGCCGCTTTCACACCAAGTACTTTGCCGTACTTAGTGCCCAGCACTTAGTGCCAGCACTTAGTACCCCCATGGAACTAAGAGCCGATCGCGTTCACACCGGAATAAGTTGCTTACCTTGGTTGGTTATTGGCTAATGGTAACACAAGCCAAAAAATCATTATGACATCATAAAGTGGCCAAAATCTGATCAGCTCATTTTCAGACAGGTTTTTATATAAATGGATCAGGAAAGAAAGTGAGCAAATCTTTTTTCCTGAAACTTTCAGAATCTCTATACACAGAGGGGACACATGTTTATGTATAAAACAGGCGCTTTATAAATTCCATTTATTATTATTATTATTATTATAAAAGACATGAAAAAGTGGATTTTGCATAATAGGTGACCTTTAAGGAATACATAGTCCAGTTTCCCAGTGTGTGTGTACCTCTTTGGCAAGGCGACGAGCTTCATAGTAGGGTCTCGCTTTCTCTATGCAGCCACCAAGCTGAGAGCTGTGAGCATTTAGCTTCCTGGCAGACTCGGTGAGGATTTTCCGGTACCCTGATCTAGCATCCTGGATGGTTAATGCATGAAAATGACAAGATTAGATTTACCTGAATGGAATGACTGATTAGATTCCACAAAGGAGTATGACTGCCGGTGTGCAATCAATTCACGTGGGCATTAAACCATTCAACTCATAAACATTTTCCATTTTAAGAGTTCTGACTTTTCCCAACCTTATTCTAAAAGATATTAAAACTAAATTATCATTTTGATGAACACTGTCTGGGTAGACTAATAAAATATTCAACAACAAAGACATTCAGAGATTCTAACTAATCCTACGGTGGTAGATTTCACAGTTTTGTTTAGTGAAAATCAAAGTGTTTTTATTCAAACTGTTTTCCATATTTTTCAGCCATTTATAGAAAGACTGAACAAGCGCCCCTAATTAGGGGGTAGAAATCTGCATTTTTACTTACATCCAACTGCAGCTCCAGTCTATTAATTTCTGCACTGGCTTCATTAAGATGCTCCAACTCATCCTGTGGGAAAAAGAAAAAAAAGATGTGCTGCTTTAGGCTCCAATGTATTAACCACTAGGGAATATAAATGGCTTAATCCTCCAACACATACAGTCTAGACTAAATTAGCTCCGGTTTATAGATCATGTTTTATTATTACATGTAAATGTAACAACACTGATTTTATTTTAATGTAAATGTAATGCAGGGGAGACACAAACAGGGAATTAAATTAACTTCACAGGTATGTTACGATTGGATATGTCGGCGCAATTGAATGACAGATAATCACCTTTGATCTGACAACCAGATTTGCACGGATTATGGATTTAACAAAGGAAAGTCTGTGAACACTGAGATACATTTAAACAGGTTTAAATAGTAAACATACTTAAGTTCCTTTCTGTTGTTCTTAATCCTCGTTTTCAGTCATTGCACAGTATTGCATTTGAAATAACTATCTGTAGTGGTTGTTTGTCAAATTCTAGTGGCTTTATTGGCACGGCAATGGGAAGTGTGTTTGTAGCAGCATTCAAACAAAGCATTGTGAAAATGAAAAAAAAGAGTAAATATTAAACAAATATAAAAATCACAAAAAAAGACAGAAATGAACAGTAAAATATATACATATTGACAATTGACATTTTTAAAAGCCTAACCAGGGACAAGGTCTACAAATTAGCTACGTATAAAATAACCTTTACAGGCCTACACAATGCATAGCTTGCACTGGATTTAAATGTTACAGTGGCAACAGGTATTGTCATTATCAAATATCGATAGATAGATAGATAGATAGATAGATAGATAGATAGATAGATAGATAGATAGATAGATCTTTATTTCAGACCCAGAGTTAAAACACCCTTTTTTTCTACCTGTGTTCCTTGCTTATTCTGTTGCTGCTATGACAACGGAATTTCCCAACGGGGATTAATAAAGGTCCATATTTCCTTGTCTTAACTACACCCTGGTTGATTCGTATGCAAATATAGTTAAAAACACCGCACACAGACACATCAGGTTCTTCATACCTTGATCCTGGGGTCCAGTACTTCCTCATAGGGGCTGTGTAATTGCTCCCCCACTCCTTTTTGTTTTTCGGTTTCCCCTTCCTCGCAGGTGTCTCTGGTCGAGGTCTCTATAGTTGTCCCATTAGTTTCGGGAGTTTTGACCTCCTCGGGCCCACCGGGACACCCCTCCTCCCTCCAGTCCCCGGTGTCTGACTCCCCGGACCCGGCGGGGCTCTCTCGCAAGTCGCCTGGCTCCATTCCAGGCCACACCGTTTCGCTAGCAGAGGCGTTAGCTAAGATTGCTTCCTGGTGGCTATACCACTAAATGCCAGGCCCTGTTAACAAGGGTTGTGTTATTCAGAACGGGTACATAAGAAACCAATTCCAGTGTAGGCGAATGTTGCAATCGGCCATATCACAGCACACCGAAACACGAACAGCTAGCCTAGCACGCTAGTAGGCTAACACTGCCAGTCAGAATATAACGGTTACTTTACAGCAAATAGTTGAGAACAAACGGCTAGCATGAGATGAAAAGTAAGAGGAGGCCCATCAGTATGTTCCCCCATTACATGAGGTGTGTCGTCCATCTCTTACCGGTTCTTCATTACTTTAGCTAGGCTAGCTAGCTAGCGGTTTCGGTCTCACATCATCATTAGAAATGAAGTAAACACTGAACAGAGGGAACCTAACGGACGCGCGTATCAAGTTTTGGCCACGTCGGCGCCCGTAGACACACACACACACGCACACACACAAAAAAAAAACTATCACAGATGGAACATCTATGATATGAAGTGAAACTAATTCCTGTGTTATGGAAATGTATACACGTAAATTGTGGCAAGATATTTGTAGATGTCTTGGATAAGATCTGTACATTTGAACTTGTTGAGAAATAATATTTTCTAATCTACATTCATAAACCTACATTTTCTTTTAAAAGATCCTCACGTTTTAGGTTCTGGAAGAAAGAACTATAACTATGTGGGCCTCTTCAGACAATAACAAATTAAGAATTGAAAAATATAAAAATGGTAAGACTTTGCCCCGTGGTAACTTTTTAAAGCTTAACTGCTCTATAATGTATTCACTTAACAAGTAAAATATATTTTCCCATTTTGTTCTCTATATGTTTGCACTCTTTCTACTCTGCTCTAACTGCTGCAGAGAAATTTCCCTCTGGACAGTTTTATCTTATCTCAATATGGAAGGAAAACACTGTATTCTTTCTGTACAAGCTAACTACATTTAGCAACTTATTAAAAGGCAAAACAGTAAATTGGGTTTTTTATTCCAAAAATATACAAACACAGGTAACAAACCTGTAAGGTAATACATTGGAGAATCATTCAAGAAAATCAATTGACTAACTGATTTTCATATAAGACACAAAAATGAGAGTCAAATGTTAGATTATACTGCAGCTTTGACCAGTCACCAACACCATAAACAACCATACGACAGATTATATTTTCATATTCGTACCAGACATAAACAAGTCACATAGGCTACCATAAATTGCAAATAATTTAAAACAATAGTGGCATACTAGTTAATTGTATTGAATGCATTAATGAGTGTCATTTGCACATTTAGGAGCATATAAAAATAGATCTCTTGTGAATTACTGCAGAATCGTCTAAGGCTGTATCCTACACTGTAAGAAAAGTTTTTTCGTATAATGAAAAAGACCTGAGTAGCATTGGCAATAACCCCAACACCAAAAAGGGGGGAAATTCATTCTGCATCATCACAGACAATAATCAAAAGTATATATCATTAAATCAAACATAAACTTTAGAGACATTAGTCTTTGGTCTGTAATGCTTCTCCCTCAGACATTCAGAGATCACAAAAAGGCTAATACGCTTAAATGGATAATCAGCTCCAGCTGGGATCATACTTGGTCCATCCCGGAGGAGGGGCCAAGTATATCCTTCGTCCTTTCGAGATGAAACTGACGACCCCTCTGTATCCTGTCCTTGGCACTCCAGACTTCAAGTCATCCATCACTCCCAGGTTTTTGGCCAGAATTTTGAAGCTGTCCTTACTCGAGTATTGAAGGCGGTAAGGCCCAGTTCCTTTTAGCTGCCCCTGCTTGACATCTTCATATGTAACTACAGGAGCTCTGTAAACTTCCTTCTCAAAATGTTCTCTGTACTTCTCCTCCTTTAAGTAACTCAGATCTAACTTGGTGAAAGGCACAAATTCGGTGTTCAGTTTAATGTATCGCAGGTATTTGTCATAGAACTGACCCAGACTGACTCCTTTCCGGCCAAAGGTTAAAGTTCGTGAGATCTCCGGGCGTATACAGGCACGGCCTCGGCGCTGCTCTGGCTGACGCATCCAGTCATCCCAGAATGACGCGGGCCACTTTGGCTCCAGCTCTTCCCACATCTCCCTGAGGAGCATCCAGCCCAGACCGGGAAAGAAGTCTGTCCTGTAGAGCAGGTTGGCGCTGCCTGGATCCACGTAGCCATCCCGACCATTGTCATTCCAGGCCGACACACACCACAGAGTGGGGTCAGATTTTAGGAGTGGCAGCAAGGCTTGGAAGTACTCAAAGAAGTCTGGCGCCACCTAGAGTAGGAGATGAACAATTTAATGTCAGTTTAACATGCACTGTCAACAAGTGAGATCATCTGCTGTAAAGATATGTAACTTCATAGCTGTGAAAATAGAAAATATACTCGTTTTTTTAATATTGATATATGAAATAATTAACATTTTAATGTCACTATGAGCTTCTAAATTAACTGAAGCAATTTTAGGCACTAATTGATGATATGATTACCTCCAAGTCATCCTCTACAACCACAGCAGAGGAATGAGAGAGGGTCTTGAACACTTGGTTGAGAGCCCAGCGGTAATGCCTGGAGATTTTGTAGTAACCCTGGAACTTCTTGTGCTCTGGTCGCACAGCGATATCTGACAAGACCGGCTGTTTCAGATGGATCACTTGATTTCCATAAGAACGGATCACCTCAGCAGTTTCAGCGTGCTCACAGTCCTGACTCACGATGATTGGGAAAAGTTCTGCGGAAGGACGGAGCTCCAGGAGTTTGTCCAAGCAGCGCCTCACGGTGACCCTGTTACAGGCGATTACCAGGATAGGTATCACAAGCTGGGGTGGGACGACTACTTTTGGTGCGTTTTTGTTTGACGGATCCCACAGGGACTGCTGATTCTTGATCTGAAGCAGGATTTTTCTCTGCATTTCCAGCTCTGCTTCGAACGTGTCTGCCATTCGGAGCACATCTCCCACCATATCATTGGTGGGCCTTTCAGCCACTTCTCTCTTCCCCTGGCCATGCTCCCCAGTCTGGCCCGATGGGGGTCTGCCCCACAGCAGAAGCACAAGTATGGCGTTCCAGGTGATAAACAGGAACGTACCACAAAGAATGAGAGAGCCTCGCTTGCGGATCATGGCACAGAAACTCAGAGGGAGGGAGAGGGTTTCAGTAGGACAGGGTTTGAATAAAATGATGTGTCCTGGTTACAGACACTAGGAATAGGATATGGGAAGGGCAGCATGTGTATTATCACAAGCACATATTCAGAGATCTGGAGTCACACTTTGTTGGCTCACAATGAAGTTACTCTGGTTATTATGACACTTAATACAGTGTCAATGAGGGCAAAAAATGAAGAAATTTGATGAGGGACAGGTCTCATCTTGGGGTTGTGGTTCTGGCATTCCTCAACTCTCATTATGCTCTTCTATCTGAAATTAGAAGAACACAGTGTACTTTCAGAAAATAAAGGTTGCAATAACAATGACAACAAAGAAGACGAATGCAACAACATTGTAAAAGATCAAATGAAACCAGGAAATCAGGAAATGTTAATGTGCATTTCATAGGAAGTTGTTTCCAGTGAACTGGAGTGATGATTCACACAACTGTCTCTGATCGATTTCCTCTTATCACCTGTGGCTGACTCGCTTGATATACGCCACAAAACGGGTGTTATTAAGCCCGAAAATCAACTATGAACCACGACTTTGTACCTCGCTGTCCTCACTGGTGCTCGACAGACAGATTATACCCGACTGACTGTAAATACTGTAGCTTGAGGAGGAGCGTGTTGAAATTAGCCCTTACCCTCTGAGCGTGTCTTCTTTTTGTCGCCATTTCTTCGATGACAACCAGCGCATGTATACAACCGGAGACAAGAGGACAATGTGGAGCGGATGTGAAACTATTCTCTTGCTAGTTTCCCGGCTGTAAAAACAACTTAACACCACCTTTAGTTTCTGCTGTCTCTCACAAGACAGAAAGAGGCGGAGGAAGAGGAGGAAAAGTAACACGACGACTTCCTGGGTAGAGAGCAGTCACGGGAAGTCCCGCCCCATCTGTCACCTTGAGAAATTACACAACACTTTGACGTCTGTGGAGCTAATTAGTAGCTTATTAAGAAACAGCAGGCTTTGATGTCTGTATATTGTTTGTTTTCAATCGGTCTGTCGTCGAAATATGGTGATAAGAGATCCTATGTAACAACACATTCGTTCTGCTTAGGCTGCAGAGAAGTGAGTGTAATTTGCATCAAGGCAAAATAAGGCAAATGTGCTTTGGTTCAATGCAGACACATGCTTTTCCCTGCCTAATGACACATACACAGCATCACTTTTTATATTTAAATATCTTGGGGTTTATTATGTTACACTCAGCTATCATATCACTTTAGAACAATTTCCAGGTACTTATATACTACTTTTTACTCCACTCCACTACACTTACATCAATACATTTACTGGTCACTTGCTCTACTCTGTTTCTTATTGCACCATTTTTCATTTGTTTTTATTGTGTTATGTCTTATATTTATGTTGCATTGTAGGAGGAGCCCAGGACTAAAGATTTTCATTTCCATAACTACACTGTAGATTCGGATCATTAATACAAACTATAAATTAATTAATGAAGGATCTAGCGTATTATTATGAATAGGCCGTAAAAAAAAAAAAACGAGTTTAAATAAGCTTTACCTTTTCCAAAATTAAAATAGCCTATTGTACACATTAGGCATTAATTATAGATGTATACAACATCTGTGCAGTACCATATTATCATATTTGTCTCAACCTTCAATCCGTCTTTTAAATGTAGTTTTTTTAACTTAGTGATTAAATCATGTACTGTTTCTTATTTATTATATATTGCTTGGTTTTTTATTGCGCTTGTTGTTGCATTCTCCCTTTGCTAACACTGCAAATGTTCCTGTTGTTGGACTCATAAAGGATATAAATTAGGAAATAAATGTTAGCTTCTATAGTAAATGACATTCCTACTTGGTTAAATGTAGCACTATGCAAGTGGCCTGTGATCTATTTTTAGTCCAACATATTTCACAGTGAAAAACCAAACAATCATGTTAAAAACCACAAGTGTATAAGTAGTAATAGATTTGTTTTACTCTAACTTAAATAAAACATTTTTTATTGTATTTGACTCTATTCCATTTGCAAAAAAATAAGCTTTCTGTGCAAATCATCCAACAAAAAATAAAACAGTGCCGCATTTGAATATGTAGCCTACTACAACCACCAGAAGGCCTTGAATACACACGCTGCATGTTTCCCTACATGTGCTTAGCATACTCTTTTGTATATTTTTTGATAAAGCATATCCTTGTTCTAAAAGCTCTAAAAACAACCAGTTTGTTTTCTTATATCACTGGGTTGAAGTCCGAAATGTGCTCTGTACAACGTGAAAGCCAACTACAAGTCAGCAAATAGGGTTAGATCACAGTGTGTATTTGTTGTGCTAAGGCCTTGGACTCTCAGTCAGGTCTGTCCTCTGGGACCATTTGTCCAGAGCCGGAGTTGTCCTTGGAGGAGGTGATATCACTGGGACTGTGGTTATCTGTCTGAGAGAGGACATTTACTATAATTTCATATAGTCTTTAGAAATATGGTGACATTATTTTTAATCAAATGAATCTTATTAAATTCCATGTCAGGCTCACCTGCAGGTCATTGTTTTTGATGTTTTGATGTAGGCCTAGTGCATCATCAGGGATACTGCTGGACCTCCAAAACACTGCCAGCTTCAGTGACATAAATCCTGACACCAGAGCAGTGAAAGACAGGCATGTGCTCTTCAGTGTTGACCAGCCACTTAACACAAAAGAAGGTATGTGTCCTGCATTTTCCATCAAACATGGACACTTTATGGACACTTTCAAAACACCAACCGGGAATTCACAAATGTCCTGAACACATGCTATTTTACAAATATGTGTAGGACGTGTTTCGTATTTAATCGTTTGAATTATTGCAGAGCATTTGTCTATTCCAGGCAGGTTACATGACAGTCTTCGTACCAGCTGACGCACCAGCGAGTTTTGGGCACCAGGCACATATGAGAGCACGTCCCCTGCGGATTGCGAAAGTTTTGGGCGATTTAATTTGTTATTTTTCCTTGTTTCTTCCTCTCTCAACACTTTACCAGCCATCCGGGGTGACTTGAACGCCCCAGTCACGCTTCTCCCCCCCGAAACCCCTTGGAGGAAAGCCTCCCACGCTGACGGCTGGTTGGACCGGGCGCGCTTAGCTCGGCAGAAGCCGGCGAGCCCGAGGCTGTACGCGGAGCTGGCAGGCCGCTTGGTCGGTGGATTCCTGGTGAAGATGTTACCCCGACACCGGAGAACAGCAGACAGGGCAGAGGCGGAGGGAGTGGAAGCCATGCTGGTCTATGTATCCACAACTGGCCGCTTCTTTTTCAGGACTTTCTCTGTTTGTATTCTATACTGTTCAACCTCTATCCAAGCAGCCACATAACGCATAACGGTTAATATGCGCAAAGAGAGCAATAGAGGAGGGAAGGGGGGGCTTTTCTGCTGTGGTGCACCCGACCATATTTGCCTCGATAGTCCGGGAGGGGGGCTCAGGTGGGTGTGTCTTTAGGCAATAGTGGGGAGAACATAACACACAGTATAAACACTGTGTTACAACTCCTACATTCAAGTAACCTAGGCTATTATCTTATCATACTTTATAGCCCACTTTATATTCAACAACCCAGAAGGAAAATGTGAGTGTTTACTTCACATCTACTGGCAACTTAACCGTTTTTACTTCTACCCTAGTACATATAGGCTACAGGGCCGTTGCATTGTTTTTTTCAGGCTTGTTAGCAATGTTACTTTATTTGGTTTCACAAAAAAGGATCAACAAGGTCAAGGCCTTACGTTTTCAATTCGGTACTTCTAATTGTATACATCACTATGAAAATTGGATCCTGTATTTTTAAGTTTGCCTTTAAATGTCAGTGTTTGTTATAGACTTTGATGATTGACTTGTCTCTTGTTTTGTTTGTCCCACACCCAAAGTGATGTATGACAAGCTATAACATATTTCATTCTGCCAAAACTGTCAACAGCTGTCGCTCATGACTGAGTAATTATGTACAAAAAAAGCCATGAACGTTAAGAATCTCAAGCTGTCACACAGGTTTGTCAGTCAAAACAACCGAGAGGAGCCACTGAGTAGAAATTCAGTATTCAAGCCACCCTGTACACACGTCTGTTTACACACCACCAGAGGGTATTCAGTGTCTGAGGAAGACATGCAGGTTCTGGAAACGCAATAGGAAACAACTCTGTTTTCACTAGATAGAGGGCAAAACGGACAGAGTCATCATTATGCTATACTCACAGAGAAGGTAGATTAGTTTATACAAATGAAGTTGGTATCATGTGTTTTAAAATATTTAGAGATGAGCTTTCAAAATGTCAAATAGAACTTTATTGGATGATACCATGGGGAATACAAAAGTCCTTTCCTTTGAAAGATACAAATAAATAAACATTCACTGGCTATGTACAATGACTTGGCCCTTATTAAAAAAAAGTTGTAAGAACGAGAAAACCTGAGCGAATATTGGCAATCAACTTGATGCAATCAAAAGATACTCAAGTATTTTCATCACAGCATTTAGTACATTTACAGATTATTAATCATCATGGACAGTTTCTTTACACTTTACACAGTTTAGAAAAGAGAGAGAGAAAAAAAAAAGAAGAAACATGCTGGCCCTGTTTGCTCCAGTATGTGCAACTTTGAGCCTGTGTGTCCTTTGTTTAAAAAATGTTGCTACCCTTGTTTACCTTCATTTTGTACGACACTGCATGGCCTAAATGTGCCCTAGTGCTTAGTTTCTTCTTCTTGCAAGAGGGCAAAAATGTTCACTGAATCACAATCATTTCTGTGATATTCCAGCCCTTCCCGTTAGTCTCATCTCTGCAGCTCGTACCCCCCCTGACCCCCTTCAGGGTCCAGGGGGACGGTGTGATGTGTGGTTCCCATTGTTTATGGGAATCACTACATTCGGTATGACCACAAAGGCCAGAATCCCCACCAGCATGAGCGACACAGTGATGGTGATGATGGACGCCACCACCACATAGTAGCACTGGTCCGAGCGGAACAAACTGCGCAGACGACCTCTGACCCTGCTGGGAGGCCTGCCTACGTCCACCATAGTGGCGGGGGCTAATCCCTGCTCCAGAGCACTCAAGGGGAGGTCCCCACCTGCTGTCACCTGGCCACCTTGGCTCTTTTTAGGCAGGGGGAGGATCTTGGGTTTGATCGGGCTGTTGTGGGGACGGTTCTTCAGGAGCAGTTGTCCCTTGCTGCGTTTGAATCGGATGGACAGGATTCTCTGCATCTCTGGGGGGAGTTTGCCTATGATGTCCTCGTTGTTGCCCAGGCGGGGCAGGTCCTGGCCGTGGGGAAGCTCGGTCAGCTCTCGACACACTGGGCAGCACAGGGTCTTGAGCTCAGGGGAGGTGACGTTGATGCGAGCGAGACACTCCAGGCAGAAGGTGTGCCCGCACGCCAGCAGCTTGGGGGTCTTGAAGATGTTATCGTAGGAGCAGAAACACACAGCACACTCAGTGTCCTCCACATCATTTTCAGGGGGCTTCACCTTCCTCCCAATGCTCTCTCCCCCTTTTCTGTTTCGTCCCCGGACTTCCTCACTCCTCCCCCGCTGCCTCCTCTCTCCCTGGTGCCTTTCTCGCTCTCTCCTCCTGCCTCTCTCCACCCTATCCGAGTCTGAACTCCTGGATCTCCTCACCTTCGCAGGCTTCTCCTTCTTCCACATGTCCTCCTTGGTGTTCCTCTCTTTCTGGCCGAGTTTTGGTTTGACGTTGGGGACTGGTCTGTCCCCATTGCTCCCTTCGGGCCTGTGTCTCTCCCTCTCATCGCTCATGTTGGAGGGATTTTGTTAGAGGTTGAGTGCCGGATGGAATCTGTAAAAGAAAAAAACGTGAATGAGTTTACTGGCTCAGAGAAACCCGCAGAGCAGGAAATAGACTTTAGGAATTTACCTGCACAACATTGCTGTTTCACGATGATGGCGCAATAATGCCTAATCTATTGCTATCTAACATCTCTGTTGTATTAAAGGGTTATCTGTAGATTGTATTCATTTATTCAACATGATAATGTTTCACCATATTTGTTTAATAGGTTTTTCTGCCCAGAAGGAATCAGGAAACATAAGAACTGCAGAACACAAAGTTCTTCAGATAGTTAGAAGTAAATGGAGATATTTTACGACCCTGTTTTCTTAGTGGGTATTCATACAGGTTTATATACAGTCTATGGTTGAAACCTATAAAGGTAAACTAAACGAAGGCGTAATTTTTTTGGAATGTCATCGTAAACATTCCATAATACCCATCCATCTTACAAAGTTAGTCATTAACTCAGTTTTTACCTTGCAGCTGGCTCACAATTAACTATTGAGCAGCAGATTTCCTTCAAATTAAACAAAATACATTTGTGACGTATGCAACAACTTAACGTTTAATTGTAACCTGCAGGTTATTGAATATTCAGGATTTAAGGGATCTTTAAAATAATTGACATTTGCCGGCTGAAACCAGCAGGCTAGCAGAGAAAAAAACTTTTGATGACAAAGAACAGGAAAGTAAATAATTTGACAGAATATATTACACACACACACACTGACCTGCTGAGGTAGGTTAATGTCCGATCACCTTGAGATAATCTCACAAGCAGAATAATCCTTTTGGGTATCAGAGCATTGGAAACGTGCAAATCACCAAACTTCATTACTATAAAAACAACTTAAAGCTTTCCTCTGAAGTCTTTTGGTCTCCCTGCAGTGCCTGCTCTCCTGATCTGATAGTATGTTTCCTCTCATATCTTGTTTTCTAACTGTAACGCAGCACTGCCTCCTCTGAACACACCCCTTCTCTCTCTCTTCTGGTCGGACCAGTTGGACCAGCTGTAGTGAGCCGGTGCTTCTTTATTGTGTCGGTGTGTAGCATGTTCAGATAAGCAGGTCGTAGAGAACTCATGTGGGTCCACTCACCCAGCAGAACCCATGTGATACTGGCATGATAGTATAACTTAGAGACTGCTATGCATGTGACAGCTCCATTTCCTTTTGAAAAATACAAATCACTAACATTTCTCATTGTTTGTTGTTTAACTGATGAGCAATTAAAATCAGAAAGGTGGTATGAAGGGTCACGTGGTTTATAATCACATGCAATTGCTTTATGTGAATCAAGAAAAACAGCAAGTGTTTGGAAAATTCCACCGTCACTGCATAAAAAGACAAGGGTTCAGTTCTGTCAACACTGCAGGTATCAGCGGCTCATACCTGCCATACCTCCAGCCGCTATTAACACTTTACTACCCAAACAAGAGCTGCCTAACTTAAGCCTTCATTTCTGCTCAAAACCAGTTACTCCCTTTCTATCTGAACCAAATGAATGACCGAGAATACACCCCAGCTGACAATACAATGCATGAACGTATTTAAATATAAACAGCAATAAGATTAACACACAAACCCGATTTGTTTGCTTTGTCACACAGCTCTCCCTCAAAACTGCTGTGTCACTCTTGAATTATTACACCCGGCTGTCCGAGGCACACCAAGACCCAGAATAAATCTGTATTTGTATTATATGAAGTATACATATGTTGAATTCATTTCAAGTGAAAACAATGGTAGTATTTCAAGCCAGAAAAAAAATAGATGAAAGTATAACTTCTGTGAGAATTGGGAGTTTCTATGCACAAATAGTTATGTAAAATATCTCGAATGAGCGTGAAGAGGCCCTGTGATCCACAACTTAGCCAGTATGACAAAAGAATTATAGAAGGCTATTTTAATTCAGCGTCTAAATATAACATGTAAAAAAATAGAAGTAACTTCCTGGTGCAATGAAAAACCAGAGGGAAAGCCGAGTTGGGGAATCTTGAAAGGTGAAAGATGTGGTGACTAATTACAGAGCAGGGAAGCAACTGACAAAAAGAAGTGGTTGTAAAACTTTATTGCTGTAGAAAAATGAAAATAAACAAGATAAGGAGCCTCACACATGTGTGATTTGGAAATGAGTCTTTTCAGTTTGGTGGAGGCTCCTTTGTAACTTGCACACTTTAACAACGTGCCGGTTTCACAAAAACCAGAGTTGACAAAAAGTCAACAAAGAGTCTGGTGGCCGTTGAAAAGCACCCGGGAAACAAAGCAGCAGTCTTGCTCTTTAAGGGGGTGAAAACACCTCCCAGTGAGTTGGGACCGCAGTTGCTAATGCAGGAAACTCCAGGTGCTTAAATGTTTCCTTGTGGTTGGTTTACGATTAAACCAGCCTCTGTTTGTGACCCACCCTCTGCTCCTCATGTGTGTTTAGGCTACACATTTAGTACAACATGTCATCTCCAGTCACAGAAGAAAACAATTGATGACAAACAGGTGGAGACAGGCTAGAACCATAGACTGTAGCTGACACTACATTTTCCAAACTTTTCCTCATTTAATTTTATGAAATTTCCAATAGTCATTTTGTCCCGTTGACCCTGCCCTGAGAGAGGGTGGGAGTGTGCCCCCCGCTGTTTAGATTTTCACCATCTGTCCCCTGAGCTTCGGGCCTCTCTTCAGCCCAGCTCCTCTTTAGCTTTCCCCTGCTTGCGAGGCATCTTCTTGCTGCTGCTGTCCTCCAGCTCTTTGCTCTTGTAGTAGTGAGGAGCCACTTCAAGAAGCCAGCTGCTGTCTATCTCAATAACCTACATGCAGGAAGAGAGAGAGTATATCAAATACAGGGAGTAAAACATTGTACAGGAACACTTCCTCATTAAAGTGCTGTCTCATTCATACAAATAGGTTTCTGTCCAGGACGTCACACTGGACTCATTGAAAGGTGTGTCTATGTTATTTGCATTTTTAAAAATATCTTTTTTCTGTGGTTCATCATGACGGTCTTCTATATTACCAGACATTAGGGGTGGGGGAAATAATAGATACAGCATAGTATCGCTATACTTTGCGTGGCGATATTGTATCGATACACGGATGCCAAGTATCGATATTTTTGTTATATAAACTATTCCTATTGCAAATCCAAATTAGCTTGGCAAAGCTACCATCAGATTCTGAGCGAGCTAAGAAAATAACTCAATCACCTACTTGATGTGCAAAGACCTGCGTCCATACAGCGTTGTGACAACGAAATATTTTGTCACATG